ATGGGACCATGTTCAGCTTTAGAATCAATAATTTATTAATTTTATTACTGAATCTTTGTCTGGTGTTACTGTTAGACTCCTTCGCCCACCCACACCCCCCCCCAAAAAAAAATTAAATAAATACACAGTGTCCCGCCTTCCCTTAGTGGACATTAAATTGTAAAAAATTTTAATCTATGATTCTGTATATCTTGAAATATTTTCTTAGGTTTTGTTTATTTGGTCAGCAAGTGGAGAAGTGTAATAAAATAAAATACAATAAAAAATAAACCCCCTCGCCACCCCCCCCCCCCCCCCCCAAATTACTTCAGTGTCCTCGCCTCGATGGCTGGAGCGGGCCGAATTCCCGGCTAGAGGCACACTGTACATGCTGTACTGTGAACGAAATACATATAGCGCCACCTACGTTGGAAAGTGGGAAGTTTTTGCTTGGCACAACCAAAAAATTCGACATCGATTCTCTTAATAGGGCGAATTTTTGCATTTTGAAACTACAGTTTTGTTCAGTATTCAATTTCCTCTGCAAAAAGTATCATTTTGTGGGTTAAAATGCTGTATAAGGGCTGTATTTCGTGATTTTCCGCTTGAAAAACACCCATTCAGATGCACTCAAGCGTGGAAAAAGATAGCGGCGTTTAATCCTTTCGCCTCAATGGAAACATTTTATTGTTAACGCCAGATTCAACAAAGGAAATTAACAAAAGAAATGGCCTTCCTTGCATCCGTTGAACACGTGCGCCAAATGTTGAAACTGAGGATTATCTTGTATAGCGGCCAAACATCTCCTCTTTTTTCAAGTGTAAAACCATGTCCCCTTCTCTGATGAAATTCTGATCTCCTAAAATCGACAGTTTTATGTCCCACAATCTCATAATTAAACGCCTAATTAAATTATAAGACTGTGTTGCGTCTACGCGTGCGTGGGCTTGTTCATATAAAGCCAACACAAGGTACGAATACCTAGGGGCGACTGTGTTGGTCGCCCCCACCGGTATACCGCTACAGGCGACTATTGTTGGTCGCCCCCAGCGGTATAACGCTAGGGTATACCGCTACGGGCGAGTCGACCCCAGCGGTACGTACCTCTAGGGGCGACTGTGTTGGTCGCCTCCAGCGGTACGTACCGCTACGGGCGACTATTGTTGGTCGCCTCCAGCGGTATACCACTACGGGCGACTATTGTTGAGCGCCCCCAGCGGTACGTACCTCTAGGGGCGACTGTTGGTCGCCTCCAGCGGTACGAATACCTCTAGGGGCGACTGTGTTGGTCGCCCCCAGCGGTATATACCTCTAGGGGCGACTGTTGGTCGCCTCCAGCGGTACGTACCGCTACAGGCGACTTTTGTTGGTCGCCTCCAGCGGTATATACCTCTAGGGGCGACTGTTGGTCGCCTCCAGCGGTACGTACCGCTACGGGCGACTATTGTTGAGCGCCCCCAGCGGTACGTACCGCTACGGGCGACTATTGTTGAGCGCCTCCAGCGGTACGAATACCTCTAGGGGCCGCAGTGTGAAACCATGTCCCCTTCTCGGATGAAATTCTGATCTCCTAAATCGACAGCTTTATGTCCCACAATCTCATAATTATACGTCTAAATCATCATAAGACTGTGTTGCGTCTACGCGTGCGTGGGCGTGTTTATATAAAGCCAACACAAATCCTTGCTTTTTGTCAAAGCCTAACAAAAACAGTTTCAAAACGCATGAGGTGTTCAGCTTTGGGGTAATGCGAAGGACTCCCAATCCGGTGACCAAGGTTCGAATCCTATGGTTTGGAAGGATTTATATTTTTAAAATATATTTCCTTTTATCTCTGACAATGTAGCCCATGTATATTTCAATGTCCAAAATTGACCCCAAAAAAGAAGAAAATATAACAAGATAAAAAGAATCACACATTAAAAAATACAGAGAATTTACAATTTATTTTTTACAATTTATCATTATTTTTGACTAATTTCAACCCAAATTTTTGTCGATATTGCATTTTGAAAAGCACATCTGTTTTTAAATTGAATTGGAATGTGTTCTATGGTCTTTTTATGCATCTTTCAAGCAAGTTTGAAGCGAGTTTTTTTTGCCAAAATTTAAAAAGAAAAAAAAAACACAAGGGGGTAAAGCCTTTCATTTTTGATAAAATTTGGCCCCCAAAAAAGATTTTTCTCCAAACTATGCAGAAATTCTTTTAAAGGCAAGAGGAGCATCTATCGACATTCAAACACCCAGTATTTAAAGATTTGGGCCGAAATCATTGATTTGTAGAGGGAAAAAAATATTATTTCTAATTATTTCCGCGGCCCGGGCCCAATTCCCGGCTTGAGGCACTCTGAACACCTGTACTGTTAACGAAATATATATAGCGCCACCTACGTTGGAAATCGGAAAGTTTTTGCTTGGCGCTACCAAAAAATTCGGCATCGATTTCCTTAATACGGCGAATTTTTGCATTTTGAAACTACAGTTTTATTCAGTATGCAATTTCCTCTGCAAAAAGTATCGTTCTGTGGGTTAAAATCCTGTATAAGCGCTGTATTTCGTGATTTTCCGCTTGAAAAACACCCATTCAGATGTACTCAAGCGTGGAAAAAGATAGCGGCGTTTAATCCTTTCGCCTCAATGGAAACATTTTATTGTTAACGCCAGATTCAACAAAGGAAATTAACAAAAGAAATGGCCTTCCTTGCATCCGTTGAACACGTGCGCCAAATGTTGAAACTGAGGATTATCTTGTATAGCGGCCAAATGTCTCCCCTTTTTTCAAGTGTAAAACCATGTCCCCTTCTCTGATGAAATTCTGATCTCCTAAATCGACAGTTTTATGTCCCACAATCTCATAATTAAACGCCTAATTACATCATACGACTGTGTTGCGTCTACGCGTGCATGGGCTTGTTCATATAAAGCCAACACAAATCCTTGCTTTTTGTCAAAGCCTAACAAAGCTGCTTTTGATCGTGTAAATTGGCCAGCTATGTGCATATGCGTAGGACTCCCGATCCGGCGACCAAGGTTCGAATCCTTTGGTTTTGGAGGTTTACGTTTTATGTTTTTGAAATAAATTCCTTTTATCTCTGAAAATGGAGCACATACATCAGTATATTTATTTTCCATTAATTTTATTATATTCAAATATTTTATTCCACTTTCCAATTACTTTTATTAAGTCCCCCCCCTTCTCTAGCACCAGACCCCCCCCCCCCCCAAAAAAAAGACCACCTAAATATCAGACAATTAAGTGAAGAAACATTGGAAATCAACTAAATCAACTTTCTCTGTTTTATTTCTAAAATATCATCACTCGGTGACAAAATTTGTTTGAAAGGTTTAATGTCTTTGACAAACAAATAAGGAATTATAACATTTTCTTTTTCAAACAAAGTAACAAAGTAAGTTTAAATTTAGCTAATTATTATAATGTTCATAACAACCAAAATGGTTGAGGGCAGTATCCTGATGCTACTTTTTCACTTTAGATATCCACAATTATGCTCATTTACTCCCTATATGTTGACAAAACATAAATTGGACTGGCAACATTTTCAATGTAGCTAGAATATACTTCAGAACGTTTTAAAACACCCCTAGAATTGGACATAGCCACCAAGTTCACATCAGGATTCTTTCCAAGAACATGTCATTATCAAATTCAAGATTATTGCATTAAAAAATGATTTCAGTGCATTGTTCTCAATTTTATTTTTAGCTTCTCTCACAATTAATCTTGGAAGTTAAATACTTCCTTTTTCAACATATTCTACAAAAATGAATTAAATGTACATCATAATTATTAAACAGTGGTTAACATTATGCTGTAATAAAGATACAACTGACAAACCGATCACAGAAACATGGACGTATTTTTTAGTGAACTATGATTTTAAAAATGGTTACATTGAGAAATCTGCAGCATTTCAAAAATGGAACTACATTTTCACTTTAGAAATACACTTTGCAAGATACTGACTGGTATACCAACAATGACTTGGACTGATAGGCTTGCTTGGTGACCAAACTTATGGTAAAACTTGCCCTTCAAAAATGATCTAAAGTATAAACTGATATTATAAATCAATTTTTCAAACTCCCTTTCGTATCCAGTGTTCTCTCTCCATCACTAGAATTTAAATCTGGCTCTTTTAATCTTCCATTTTCTTAATTGTCACAATAGGACCTTTAAAAAACACTTGATCAAATCTTCTGATTACACAAGCCTTGGTGTTTTACAGTGTTTGGAGGAAATGGTCTTTTTTATGTTTGAAAGTACAAGCAAAAGAAACTCCCTCTCCTAAAATTTGGAAGGGGAAAATTGAAAAGATGTTCCCAGGGTATACACAAAAATCATGATCATTCGTGACTTTTTAAAAATTACAAATTTTTAAAATTTAAAAAAAACTTGCACATACAATTTTGATTTGAGGTAAACTTCTGTTGATGATCTGGGACACATGTATTTTAACAGACTTCTAAAAAAATAAACTGTTTCATTGTGTTTATTGTTAGGACTTAAAACTTGCTTGAAATATGGCAGCTGTCTCCATGGCAATGGAGGATGTTGTCATATGTCACACTGTTTTTTTTGGCGTGCATAGAAAGAGAGCAACGACTCATACGAACAGTTTTGATCATCTGACAAATAGCATCAATTGTACGTAACTGAAATGAATAAGTATTTAGAACGTATGAGCTTATCGTGGGTCCAAAATGCAAACTGGAGTGCAGAGTAAACATATTAGCAAACAAACCTGGCTAACAGACTGTACATGTATGAAACACACACACCACAAACTAAATCCAATATCTGTCTGACCATCTGACTGGATGATGTTTCGGTCTTTGTTCAGCACCATACTTGCAAGATCTGCCCCTCATAAGCCTATAACTGTTGGTGTTCTTTTCATGAAGGAGGCGAGGTGCTGCAGATTTCACAGTCGGATGCATATTTGAAAAGACATTCAGTGAATAGCCAATCTGGATGCAATATCATTTGTGCACAGATAAATATGGCTACAGCTCCAAAGAATACCAGCAAGTGGGAGATGTGTTGTGTGTTTGGCAAAGAGGGGCGTGGTCCAGGAGAGTTTGGTAATGCTCACGGTATCGCTGCTACTCAGTCAGGTCAGATTGCAGTGGCAGACAGCTCTAACTTTAAAGTGATGATATACAGCAATGAGGGACAATATAAGGAAGACATTCTCCTTCAATCACGTAAGTTTCTTTCATGTACCTCACAGCACAAAACATGTCAAAGCAAATGATGTATAATGCAAATGAAATCATTGATTTTATGAAGGGCACATGTGCACAACTTCACTAGATAAATATAATTAACTTACTGATGAAAATTTTATGTTTAAGTTTTCCTTGACCCCCATGCAGGTCCATGGGATGTTGCAACTTTCCACAATCATGACAACAGGCTAGTGGTTGTGGATTCCACCCAGTATGTGAAGATGTTCAAGGATAACAAGCTTCTCTTCCAGTTTCCCACGGTGCCACAGAGTGAGGTGGACGACACACAAGTGGGCCTCTGCAGTGTGGCAGTCAGAAAGAATGGCGCCATCTTAGTGGGTGATGTGGAGAGATTGGTGTGGACTGAGCACAATCCTACTAATGGTGAGATCCTACGCACCAGACCACTTCATACTGCCCCTCACTACCTGACTGTTGATGATGCCACTGATAGAGTTGTGGCCTGCGACCATGGGCTTGACATTCAGGAAGTATATGTTTGTAAGCGCAAAGGTACTCCGCTCTTTACCATCAAACCAACCATCAATGGTAAGCCAGTGCAGCACTGCACCGGTGTATTCTGTGACACCTCAGGCATCTACATTGCAGTTCGTAATGAGCATCGCACTGGTCATATCCACCACTATGATGTCGATGGTATTTTTCTTGATTGCCTAGTTCAGGGTCTGTTTGATCCACGTGGAATCACATTCACATCGAATGGACAGCTGGCAGTGGCTGAATGGAACGCAATCAAGATGTATCACAAGGCAGCTCTGTAGTTGAGTCCAGCACAAATCCTACAAGTCAATCACAAGTCAATCACAAGTCAATCACATGTTATGAAGCGTGTCAAGTATCAAGTCAAATCACAAGTCTATTTTAATGAACTGTGTCTAAAGCATCCCCTGTTACTTTTGGCCGGCTGGACATGTGAATGGATTTGTAATTAAATACTTGTTTGTGGATCAAAATACTGTCAGTGTCTGAACTCTGTGTGATATCAGTCATAACATAACTTTAATATTAACGGTCTCAAATGTATTGATATTTTCCCTACTGTCTCTTAACATGTGAGAGCAAGGAACTTTGATGGCGTTGGGGTAATCCTTAGATGTACCTTTAGGACCCAATTCCTATAAGGTTAAGACTCACAAAAACAGAGCTGACTAAATGACACTCAAAAGTGACATTCTGAAGTTTCTTGACACATTTGAACAGTTGGCAATGACACCTTCTTGAATATCAGCAGGTTTAATTTTGTGGAAAGTGGGCAGGACTTTGATTTATGAGGGGTAAATTACTAAAAGATGACCATGACAAACAGAAAACGGACTAAAAAGCAAGATGGCAAACTGCAAAAAAATTGTAGGAAAGTCACATTTTCTTTGAAAGTGCTTTCAAAATTACAACTAACATGAGTTTATCTGAAGTGCACAAGTCACTTTGGTACTGGACAGTCATCTGCAAAAGTCAGTATTGAACAGAACTCGTAAAAATTACTTAAAGGTGTCTATAAAGATAAGGATTACCAGAGTTGGGGAGGTTGGGCTTAATGAGTAGGGGGAAAAAAACAGACCTGACAACATGACACAGACTAACGATAGCAATTTCATTTATCATAAATCATGATCATCCCCCCCCCCAAAAAAGATTGTTTGTTGAACTTGAACAGTTTCACAAACTGCCCCTCAGCTCGCATGGCTCGGGCTCCATGCCCTCGATCGTCTTCTCCCGTTCCCTCGCTCAATTTCAATAACATAAGGTCTTTTTGCATTCTTTGTCTATTAATTATTGTCCAAACTTACCTACAGTCCTCATGTTTGTATGGGATTCATTGACATTTCTTTAATAATGCTCCATACTATTACTATTTAGCAACTTCGACGTCCACATCCAAATCCAAAAAATTGTTGCCTTCGCGCAATATTTTTGTTTTGAGACGAATAGCGCCCTCCATTGACCAAAGAAGCAGCATCGACGCTATGAATAGCGCCCTCTATTGACTTTGTTTACAGAAACCATGGTGCGCTGTAATTAATTGATGATCTCTGGACCATTCCTAAAACATTTCCATGCATTTTCCTCCACAAATCATTGCATTTCATCAAAGAAAATAGCGTGTTTTTAACGTCAGGGTAACCTCCCGTTAATCTTGAAGATGTCTCGGCTACCGGGCGGTGGTCAGCAGCGGCATGTTGAGTATGATTTGCCGGCGTCGTGTTCGTCAAGTTCCGTGGGTCTGACGCCCATTAGTTTGAGAGGCAACCTGCCTCATTCTCAGTCTTGGACGGTCGTGCCTGAATACAACATGGCACTCAGACAACAACGAGTAGCAGATCCCTTTGAGGTAAATCGCTTTGAAAAGCTATAACCTTATTTATCAAGAGAAAACGAATGACACATTGACAGTACTTAGATTAAGAATGATACTTAATAGAGGCAAATTTAAATCAAGTTATCGCAACACTATTTGATATTTGTAACGATTCTGTTGGACAGGATTCCTTCAAAAGTTGTACGTGTACCAATTGGGGCGCGGAAAACTCAACTGTTTGCCAATTTGACTCGGGACAACTCGACCGTTGAGACATCTCAACAAGTCGATCGGAAATCTCGACCGTTTGCGTCTAATGGAAAGACATGATTTGGAACTGGTACATTCTGTGGCCGTGATGGGTTGATGGGGCTTGGTCAAAGTTGTATTAAGCTTGGAAAACAGTACAATTGTCCCATCGGTCGATTTGTCTGTTGAGTTGTCCCGTGTCGAGTTGGCAAACGGTCGAGCTGTCCGACATCCTACCAGTTGATCTGAAATTTTAACCACTTGACTTCTCATTAATTCACACAGTGCTGGAAGTACGATGTTCGGAGCCAAATTGCCAACATGAACGATAAACTGGTAAGTTAGAATGTATGCACACATGGCAGGGGATTATTGTTCATTTGTCATGCAGATCCTGTAAGTAAAACGGTACACATAACTAACAACAGAAATTGTATTGATGTACCTCAATAAACAGAAAGTTGCTTATGCACCGACACTTTTAGAAAACCAAGGCTATTTTAAGTGGATGTTTCACCTGTTTTTCCTTTGCATGCAGCAAGATTCCTTGGAGCAGCACCCAGACCCATCCACCAGATATCTCAAGGCCAACCTGACCTCGCCTGAGCTGGAACCAGACTTTGACCGGCGGAAAGCAGAACAGTTGAAACAGCAGACAAGAATGATAACCAACTCACTGGCGTATGGCTTGGGAAGAAAGTGAACGCTTTTGATGCAGAAAAAAAAGCGCAAGTTTGAACAAGTGGGGCGCTGTTGCGTGTGCTGTGTAAGGTTGAAGTGTCTCCACCGATGCATTCATTTCACGGTTGTGCTTATTGTCACAAATTTGCATGAGAGGTTGCCATAGTAAAACATGACTACCATACTATTACTAAATTTGTCGGCGATGAAGTGATTTCTACTTATGTAAACAATTTTACATTGGGGATGCACAAAAGTTTGCAAATCTGGAAATTATTTCTTTAATCACAGCACTATATACAAGCCTCTGTTGGAAACACAGATTTGCTTGTTTCAATTTTTAAGAAACTAAGCAGCTGAAACATTCAACTTTTTTTTGTACAAAAGCTATTGTTTTTATTTGTTGTCACAAAAGGCAGTTGCAGACATTAACTCATTCGTCACATGTACCCATTTTTCTTATTAAAGTTGCTTTTTATTACAAATTTATTTTAAACAGGGTGAAAGGGAAAGGGAAGGTCATTTTGATTTTATGAAGTATAAATTTCTACAAACACTGTTAAGTTGTTTCTTGTGCTTTGAACGACCGGGGTATATTTTCTGCTAAGCAACATTTTTATTCTGCTTAACACTTGCGTCAAATTGCCCCTCTGTTTACTTCAAAACAACTCGCTCCTTTTCGTGGCTATGGAAGGAATTAAAATGAGTTTCATTTTTAACGCAGATTTGTTTTGGAAAGACAAATCTTACTTCAGAGCCTATCAGCCGAAATATTTTTTCTGTAGATGCGTTTAGTAAGATTGCGTTATTTATGGCCTTTGCGATTCTTGCTGAAAATGAAAAAAAAAGAATTTTTGAGGGAAATATATTCGGCAAATTGCAACGTGTTCTACGAAACTGGCATTGACAGTGACAATCCAATTTTAAACTTAAATTCAAATGAGTCTGACACCTTGTTTTCAAGTGTGAAGCGATTTTCAGAGTAGAAGCGGGACACGTTATTGCAAAACAATTTTAGTAAATATGATTTGAAGAAAAAAAAACCAGTCGCGTCTTATCAACAAGACTCGCATTCCAACTGATCATTGATGTAAAATGCATTACTGATACTGACAAGTTGAAAAAAGCACAAGAAACAACTGGAGTCAAGTCTAATCCTAGGGATAACCTTTGACCTGGGGTCACCAAGCACATTATAATCACCACTTAATTGCATTGATACACTTAATTTTTATACCACTTTTGTAACTCCCACCATCGGTGTTGTACAGCACAAAATCATCAAGATCATACCCACGGACAATGCGGTCAGCAAACATATTTTTAACACCATATGCCTTAAGACTACGTGTGTGATTTTCAAGAACAATTAGCAAGGTGGTGGAATTATTTTGTTTCTAAACAAATTTGTAACTAAAATTGGGATAACAAGTTGTTGTAAAGTTATGCGTTTTACAAAGTAAGTTATAAAGTTGAAGTGGCTTACGCTGATACATTAATTTAGCTTTTCACTTGTTTGGCAATAACACAGGTTTTACATGATGCATTTATAAGGTTACGTAAAAATATCAGACATAAGGGTAGTAGTTTGTACAGAGCGGGACCATTTTCTGTGAAAATGATGACAATGACTTGAAATATACTCAAATTTGATTATAAGAACAAATGGAACTAGGGCTCAGGTAATTCACAGTTCGGTGTCAAAGGAAGTGTATATTTATAATTTTGTGTTCCAAAAGAGATATTTTGCAATAAAGAAGATATTCAATTTTAAATTTTGGAAGGGGGTGGTAAGAATTCTCAAGTGTGCGATAAAAAAAAATATAATTCTTCAAAAAAAAAAATCCAAGGTGCAGGTTAATATTAAATATTTCTTGGTCATTATTTTGGTAATATAATTCCAACTAATTTTTTTAAAAGGATTTGCCTGTTATAGTTTCTGTGCAGATGTTGTTTTGTCATTTAAAGTGGGTGTTGTGAAAGTTCATTTCTGTAACAAGATAACTCATTGTGTGTGTGTTTTTACCAACATTCTTTCATTACTACCACGCATAAGTATAATATTGTTATAATTATTTCATTCTTTTCACTGATATGAGCAAATAAAAAGATTATGTGCATGTTTGCTGATGTGATTTATAAATATATTGCTTTGCAAACTAAATGGTTTACAGTACAAGCTTTTCTGAAAGATTTTGTATAATTCCTCGCCATGGTCCAGCCACTGAAATCTGTCGGACAATAATGACCAAAAAATGGCCAACATTGCCTACAAGTAGTGAATAGATACACAGATACATACATACACCTTTGCTAAATGTATAGAGTCGCACACACATGCACATCAGAAGCTGATTAAGGTTCTGCAAGTCAAAAATTCAAAGAAAACCTAAAATTTTGCCTCTATTTTCAAAGAAAAATAACTTCTCAGCGCAACTGAAGACAAATATCAATGTAGACTCTAGTTGTGCCAGCACAAGATACCACATGGAAAACAAATGTGCATATTTTTCCATAATAAATTTACATAATAAAGTTACTTTTCTGTTACAAATATAAAAAAAGAAAACACAACAAAAAGACATTAAGGGAAGCACAAAAGGAGGGTTGTTGCTGTTACTATGGTGAAAGTGTGCTAAAATTAACAATATCCAAATAAATGTAATGAAACAAAAAAGTAGACAAATGGTACGTTTATATGTAACAGTATTTTTCTACGTAACAAGGACATGCTACATGAATTGTGAGTATCAGAACTGAGTTGCTTTGTGTGTTTTCACTGTCGGGTGAAAACTTGACCTTTTTAACCAAAAGTGCGCAGGAGTACATATTAATGTAGTAACTACAGTTTTTTCCTGTCTAAAATTGAATACATGTATATGATGTATTGTAAGGTGATCCTCAACGGAGTATAGTCTTAACATAGTGGCGATGGCATAAAGCATACATGTAACTAGTGTAGCAGACAATGGGGAGTCATTTTGTATACCACAGATTTCAGCAAAAAAAAAAAAAACACCTGCAGAAAAAAATATAATGTTACATATCAGGTTCACAGAGAAACACAAATAAGTCTTGCACCATGACTACTTGGTGTGTACTTCCAATGAGCCATAATTGACTATGTCAAGCAGCTGTCTAATTTGGTTTGGGTGATTTGTATGGATTCATAAGTTGGCTGAATTTGATGTGCAGTGCAACATTTACTGTTTTACCAATTTCATTATTGACGTGTGTTCAAAGAAAAAAAGACAAATACATGTGGGTGATAACGTTACATCTTTAAAATTTGTAAATTGTGCCATGATATAACTTTAAAAACTGAAACGCATTGATTTTTAACCGAATAATCCACTAGATTTTGCCTTAAATTTTATGTTACTTCACCAAACTACAAAATTCCACTTACAAAAATAAAACCAAAACAAACCAACCAGCAAAAAATAAAAACAAAAACAAAACGGCAAAAGCAAAACAAAAAAAAATACCTGAACCACTGTGACAACTTAAACAATTAAACAAATATTTATGTTACAACTTTAAAATAAATACGTATCCAAAATATCAGACTTTTTCTCAAATACAAAATATGGACACTACAAAACACACTCCCCTGGAACTCAACGATCCCTGGTCACTTGGATAAAATAACCGCCGTGAATATACACATCCGTTGAAATACAAATGAAAATCATGCTTCGTTGCTACAAAATAAAGTACATCAGTGTTTCTTTAAGAAAAATGAAGAGTTTTTGTACAGGTTTGTATTCGGGACTGGAGAGGATTGGGTGGAACTCGACACACGGGACCAAGCGGTTGTAAAAATGGAACAGATGTTGTCAATCTAATGCAATACATTTTGTAGACACTTTCTTGCAAGCAACGGAAATAACAGTGCGACCACTCTATATTCCTTTCTCCTCCTATTTACAAAATTCATTAGAAACAGTGTGGAGGAAACGTTTGGGAATGCATACATTCAGTTGTGAAAGGAACACTTTGTGAACTTTGTTTTAATACAAACCAAAAACGGAAAAATGCATACAACAATTAGGCCCACGTATCAAATATCATGCACTTTTTTTTCAGGGGGACCAATAAACTGTGCCATATACAAATGTTTATGTTACCCCAGTCTTTGGTTGACAAGTTTTCTCATTTCGTGAAAAAAACTATTGACCACTTAACTTTACATACATCATTTCCAAGCTATTAAACGGAAAACTCAACATGTTGCACTTGATCGTTACAAACGTCTTTAAGTGTTTTCCGAGTGTAAGTGGCTGATATTTAGTACAACGTCAGTTTAGTGTATAAAAAATACTTGGTTGCAACCCCAATCGTCATACTCTTTCAGCTGGATCGTAGATGTTTTTATCCTTGGGTGGTTCTGGTTCATCTCCAGTCGTCTTTCCTGGATGACTGACTGTGGTCCTAGTCCCGTCTTTTCTTGAGTCACTGTCCTGTACGTTCCCTTTGGGTTGCTCAACTAGAACTTCAGGGATTTCGCCAGACACTGACGGTTCCCTGCTACTTGTCAAGGAAGAACCATCTTCTTTCTTCTGGGGTAATGTTTTACTCGGGGAGTGCCTCTGTCTCCTTCGAGTCCTCTTACGGTTGGGTGGCGAGCTGCTGTCGCTATCACTGGAGCTATTAGCAACGCTGCTCTTTGACGCCCTACGATGGGCTTGATGAGGTTTGTTAGATGAGGCAAAACTGTTGAGATTGTTAGGGCCGGTAGGCCGAGCTCCTCTCCGCACCTTTGGGTGCTGTCTAGGGTCCAAATCCCTGGATTTGTGCCTGACGACGTCATCTAGAGATGACTTGGACGGTTGTTTGGCAGTATCCCCCGTAGAAGACTCGCTACTTTTTCTCGGCCACTGTTGCAAGGGGACCTCTTCTGGTTTCGCATTAGCCTCAGCTTCTCCAGTCTTTGAGGCCGGGTCTGCGCCTGGGTATCGCTCAGAGTGAGCCAAGCTACTCGGTGTATTAAGCTGCTTAGCAGCGTCTTTGCTGCGTGGGCCAGTCCTGTCTGGATCGCTGTCTGACTTGGCCAAAGTAGAGTTGGGAGAGTTTGTGGAGAAGGATCCTCTGGAGGCAGGACTCTGCTGACTGCTGCCGATCTCGGAGTCCTGGCTGATTGAGGAAAGTCTAGGTATGTCGCCGGCAAGATTGTGTGATGAGGAGGACGTTGATGACGATCTGTCATTGTCTGAAGGCAGGTGGATATGGGGTACCAGACACGGTAATTGCTGCTTCTTCTCTATGCTTGGTGTGCGCTGTGGTGGATCTCCTATGTAAATAAAAGCGTAGCATTGAAATGAAAACCTTTGCTCTCACAAAACACTACAGGTATTCTCTCCATCAACAAATTAATCAATGAAACAGCTTTTACCCAGGGGCCCTTATATCTGGAACCCTTTAGCACAGAAACCTGCTTAGCACACAAAATGCTTAACATGTTGCTAACAACGCCTAACAAATACTTAAAACTTGTATAGGAATGCGATTTCAGCCAAAGTGATCTGCAACATTGCTCAGGACTAGTTAAAGCTGATTTTTGCTTCGCGCAAAAATTGGCCGAGCCACACTTTCCGCTTAGCCGGACCATGACATCTGTATGAGCCCATATCTGCTAACCGAAATGACTTAGTACCCTACCTCCATCTTCTGGTTGGTCCTCTGCGGTGTCTCTCTCTAAGTGAAAGCTATCGGGAACTGACTGCACTCTCTCTACTGGCAGCTTATATGGGGACAGGTGCAAAGAGGTGGGCGGGGCTAAAGATTTACCTCCCTCTGGGTTGTTTTCTCGCTCCAACTATGCATAAAAATAATAAATAAAAACATTGGAAAAGCTGAATTCCATAATTCTGGAAAGATGCTACTTGCTTAAAGTTTATCGGTTGACTTTTGATGGAATTATTTGCACTAGGAGAATTTTTTGTGTGTCTTTTACTGACTACTTTTATTTTTGGCAACAGCCAAAATTTAACTTTGCGATACTGTTAGTTTTACACGGCAAACCTACAAAAAAGAGAAAAAAACTTCAATGTCTCAAGAACAAAAACTCTATCTGTTAGTTCATGCTCATAAATCTAACTAAAACTCCAATTCAATCTAAGAGATAATTAGGTGCTGGAATGGTAAATTTAAAGAAAGGTAGTTGGGGAAAAAAACAAAACAAAAAAAACACAAGAAAATGTCTTTAAAATTTTACTACTTGATCTTCAGCCTACAAAATATTTCTCAAAAGGTCCAAAACTGTAATTTTCGTTAAGTTCAGACTGGAAAACGTTGCCAAAACAAAGTCTAGTTGTGTGGTTTGCTTGACAGGAATCCAGAATATCAGTTTGATCTGGTGGTACAAATCAGTTTTGTTAAACTGATCCATTGATTACACCAGAAAATCTTAATTTTAATATTCAATTTTCTTTTCAACAATTGAGCAAATAAAAGATTAACAAAACATTAAAAAGAGCAAGATCATGCTTTATTGTATGGTCTCCAACATGTCATGCAATTGTTACGATTTTAAGCATATAACTTGTATAAAGGGATTTTTTTCTGGTCAAGTTGAAAACAAAGTTACATCTACCATGCATTTTAGAATAAAGCTTTATATTGCTTCACAGACGGAAAAAAAATTACTCATCGAATGCATACTGAAAGATATCTCAATTTTATCATACATGCAATGTTAGTACTCAAAATATTATGGAAATTGTTACTTCTAAAAATTCTTCACTTGAAACAAACCGTCAATAGGGTCCATCTTAAAAATTCTACTTTTTTCATTTTTTTAATAGCCGCTACCTTAACTTGAAGACTGCCAATGTTTGAAACCTTTCTGATAAAAACTGAAAATCAAACTGACAAACTTGTTCTATTATTTCTTTTGATTAACCAGCTAACGTCGGATGACGTGTATACACGCAAAGGTTTTGCGGTATTTGGAACGGTTGATGGATAAACAAGCAACGAGCGTGGCCGGATATATCTGTCAGCAAGCCACTCGCAGTGAGTAAGGCCGCAAATATCAGGGTGTACCGGTCTGGCCTTGAGGTTCGTGAAAATAATTCCGCCCCTGGGTCCAGTCATGTCAAAATATTCCCGGCGCGAACTGGTTAATTAGCTGTTCAGTCTGATGATGTTAGGAATTTTATGAACTAAAACAAAATAGTAAGTTCAAAGAAATGCTGGACAAGTCAACTCCATCAGTGCTGCGGATGCAAAACAAGTGAAGGTTAAAATCAAACGCCATGCAGGTCTGTAATGCTGAAGGAACGCATCCATTTACCCGGACAGAGTCTTGGGACGGAGGCATCGCTATAACGATGTCTGAGGATTGCAGAGGCTGATTTGTGAAGAGGTGGCGAGGGAAAAACACACAAACGAAGAGTTGGGATTGGTTACAAACACACAACAACCACGGCTGTACTATATCTCTCCGAGCGGCAGAGAAGAATGCTTGTGTTTGTAACTTTATAAACCCTACACTACTCTGTATCAGACGATAGGCAGTACTTTGATGTACTGAGCCAGTTTCATATTCCAACTGTCCATGTACACATCAAAATTGCATGGTTTTCAAGTCAGGATAAACGATTCCCTCATGTTTAAGAGGAACCAAAGGATTCAGCGAAAAGCAACTAAGTAATTTCAGATACTACCAGCTGTGCTGTGTTTTGTAGTATTGTTTCTAAAGCTCTAACTTATGGGCGTATATATGTCATTTTTCTTTTTAATTGAAAGAAATGAATGCAGAATGCAGATCCAGTGACCACTGCACCCAGACACTTTAATGCATTTATCTACTGTGTTTATTTAACTACAGAAAGAGGAAAAGTTCGGAAATCTTTTCTATGCACATCCGTAGCTGGAATACCAAGCTGGCTTATCATTCTTGGTGTTAAGAAAACACATACAATATGGATAATCTAAATGTATATGGGTTCAATTTTCATGGAGTTACAAAAAAAAATCTTACTCAAATATATCCTGAATGGGCACCTGTTTTCACAACCCCAGAATAGTAAACAGTAAAAGTTACACAGAGAAATACAAACCTGAAGCCAACACTTCACACAACTTTGACAAATTAAAAAGGCAGAAAATCTGCTGGCAGAAATAAATAAGAATTTAGTGACTAAAAACGGAGTGAGGTAACAGGAGTGACATGTTGACGTGACGTAACGGTGTGACATAAAAGGAAAGATAGCTACCTTAAGCAGTGGTGTGAGCGGTGTCTCTGGGTCCTATGACGACAACGGAACAAACAGCAAAAATACAGCAAAGAAAATGGAGAAAAAGAAAAGAGAAGATAGAGAGAGAACAAACAAGAAATGAAAAAGGCAACTGTCAGTGCTGGATCGTTGGGTCTACCTTCTAAGAGCTGTGCTTTGTTTAGTCCTGGGCCAAGATGCAAGTGATCAATTGTGAATCGTGCACTCGTGTAAATTTGTTTCACGTTCATTTGGAAGTAGTGGGCCGTCTAACGCCATGATTAGACCAGTGCGCCTGCTCTCACTAGGATCTTGGGAATCCTGTAGCCACAGTTTAACTTTTTTTCTTTTTCTTCCTAGGCTTTCCTAGGGTAACAATTAGCAATCGGAAAACGATCCTTCAGGCTGGTTTATAGTCAGTCGAGCAGCCTTTTTTGGAAAGTCACGCAATGGCTGTAACAATACGTGCATCGTACGCACCACGCGTGCAAAATTCCACCGTGAAGCAGTGATACCCCCGCACGACTATAAAGTGGGTTGTTGACTGCGTGAAGCCGCCATGTTGTTCAATGATAATAATATTTACACCATTGCTGCGAGATTGCCAAGACGTTAGTAAGAGAAAATTACATTGTCAGAAACGAGGGCGCTCTACAACAATCACCGTCAATCACTATTGATCACTGACGTCTTGGGTCAAGACTATGCTTTGTCTTCATCTAGGTTGTGATCAATGTGTGTCTACAAAGATAACATCAATCCCCCCCCCCCCCCCAAAAAAAAAAATAAAGAAAATTCTCCAACCTTGCAATAACTTGGCATGTATCTTTTCAAAACACATTCTCATTTGCTTTCTGCAACGTTTTGTAAACACTTGCAAATCGTTAATTATATGATACACACTTATTCAAACACTGCCATAAAATTGTCTTTACACACTTGTACATATAATGTGCTGGAAAATGTTTTGCAAGTTGCACGAAATTTATATTTGCCTAATATTTATACAATCAATATAAATTAGTTTACGCAGTGTGATATCTAAAATCTATAATGCAACTGAAGTGTTTGTTAAAATTATCACCATGGTTATATGTTTATATACATCCTTACCCACATAAATTATGCAAGTTAGTGACTAATGAACTAAAATTTGCGCTTGCATTCTACACTCTTCAAATTTGATGCTCATGGCTAAACCAATTATTCACTTCTGTATTTCCTGTGGATGGTATGAAAAGAATGAAGATGAGGCAAAGTGAAGAAGTTGAGAGGCAAAAAAGTAAAAGTCTTGCAGCACGTGCATGGATTGGACTGCCGTCTTAATGTACATTTAGGAATAGCAACAGGATATGTGATACAGTGAAAACTAAACAACTAAACTTAAATGAAATGAACACGAAGTGAACATGGAGTGAAAGATCATGAAATGAGGAAGAAAATATGACAAGAGGGGTATGAAAACCAGATGAACATCACGTTCTTGGGCTACTTTATGAAAAAAAAAAGAACTATAAGTGGGACCAATTTATGTCACACTACGTTTTGTCTATCAGTGTAAATCATCACAAATGGTGTTTTTTTTAAACTGGGTTTTATACTTTTTTGGACAATCACATCTAATAATTTATTACTGTATTTTTGACACTGGCACCATGCATGGTTTTATTCTTATTTTTTTTTTTTTTGGAGGGGGAGGGGGAAGGGAAGGTTTTTATGGGTACTTTACGATACAAGATGACAGGAATTGGGGGTTTTCATGGTGTGCATGGTTGTCAAGCAGTTTTGTGCGAGATGGTGATTTAGTGTGTTAGTTAATGATAGGGTTAAGTTTTGAAGTCTTAAATGGGCAAAACCAGTAGGTAGAGTCTTTCCCAACCAAGTTTCACTATTGCCCCAAACCGCCCTGTCTGTTACTCCTTGTAGCAACCAAAACCACCTAAGCAATGTATGGTTTTATGGCATCATCCAGGAAACAATACAATGTAATACAATGTAGTACAATGTAATACTACATATGTAATACAATGTAGTACAGATACTAATGGTAAATGTTGGGGTTAATTTGCCTTATTTCTCCTAGGTTGTTAGACCTATTGATGGATTTAGCAAACTGTTCTACAGGTAGGGATATTCAACTCACGTTTTCATCGGAGCTATTTGCTCGCTCGGCAACTTCCTGCTGCTGCTGTTGCTCCTCCTCTTCTCGCCTCGCTGCCTCCTGCTCCCCCTCGATGCGAAACTCCTCCGCCAAAGCCAGCCTGTCATCTTCATCGTCCTGCTCCATCTTATGAGATTCCTCCAAGTGCTTCATCAGGACGGCCACCACCACGTTGACCAGGACAAACTGGGCCATCAGGACGAAGCAGACAAAGTAGATGGGTGCCAGGATGGGGCTGGCGCAGCAGTTGTAGGTGCAGCCCGAGTTGTTGTCGCACTTCTCACTCCTCAAAGTGTCCTGAGAATTTTTTTTAAAGTTGACATTAATAAAATAATGTCATTTCATTCTTTCTCTGTACTTCCAAAGTGCACAGGCGTGGCAACTCTGAAGCCTACAGAAATCTTGAGAGATCGATTGCCATGAGGAAATGTCACTTTACTGGTCAGGTAGTTGGTTAAGAGAATTCCGAAAGGGCCTTGAGAAAAATAAGGTTTTGGAAATGCGTGATATTTCTTGGAGTATTTCAGCAAACTTTGATACTACCTTCAGGATTCCATTCCAGTTGTCCGCCGTGGCTATTCTGAATAGCGTCAGGAAAGCAATGAAGAAGTTCTTGAAGGAAGCGTGTCTGCCGAGCCCCTGGCACGGGTTGTCTCGTGTGCAGTCTGGCACAAAAACAGAGATTGGATCAAGAAAAAGTTCAAAGTACAAACAAGAATTTATTCCTCGTTCTACTAGTGCTCGCTCATACAAGCTCTATTTTATGATCTGCCCCAGTCCAATTGAAGTTAAAAATTAATTTTAAAAGTTGAACTAGAGGGGGGTTGGAACCTGCCACCCCTGGACTGCCATTCAGGTGCTCTACCAACTGAGCTATCCAGCCCATAGTTGGTTGAGCACCAAAACGGCAATCCGGAGGTCGCAGGTTCAAACCCAGCTCCAGTCAATTTCTTTGTTCAACTTGTAAAATAATAATTTAATGCACCTAGTCGGTTTCCCTTTGAGGTTTAAGAGATTAAAAATTGTCAAAACTAGAGGGCCTTAATTCTCAGGAAGATTCTGTTAGGATCAAAATATCGGGCTCTATAATTTTAGAAATGTGTATATTTCAGGGAAGTTCAGTCTGTAATAAGTCTGTTTTATTTCTAATTGTTCAAGCTTTCTCGGGGATATATTTCATCAATTTTTTGAATTATTGCTCAACTTACCGAGTCTGCCAAAGAGCTCCACTCCGAGTGCAGCAAATATGAAGAACAACAGGAAGAATAGAAGACCAAGATTGCCAACCTAAAGCCCAAAACAAGCACAGTTATAAAAATGTTGCTATCTTTGGAAATTACTCTAGACAATCAAGTATTTATAATTAAATCATGGTTGTATTTCGATGTGTGTAAAATAAAGTTGATGGACTCTCATGTTTCCAGTAATCACAAGGAATATTTGTAACAATCAAGATATGTTTTGCCAAATGTTTGCAGCTTTTGAGTAACCAAAAAAAAGGTATTATTTTATTCGTAGTTTGCAATACTTACCAACTTGAAGTAAAAATATGTTTTTGAAATTTATAAGAAACTACTTAATTTTCAGAATGTTATTGTGATTTCCACAGGACTGAGATTTTACTGACATAAACATGTACAACTTAACGTGCACTTCACAAAAATGATTCTACATCTATGTTAAAATTGTAAAAATGATCAAATTTTGTTTGATGCAATTCGATTATAAGCTTATCTGTTCAAATTGGTTGTTACTACACAGAGGTTACTCACAATAATGATTTGAACCGTAATATAAATAATAGTAAATAATTTTGTCATAAATATCTCAATATCACCTTGGTCTTTTGACAGATTAATCGATAAAAAGTACTTCCGAAAGACAATCCTGAGAAACAGTACATATTTGATGCTCAACAACATATTAAGCACACACTTTTGAAAACTTGTCCCCACCCTTGATCCACTATGAAATTTTTAAAAAAATTGACATTTTTTTCATGGCATTTTTTTTGCTTTTTGCAAAAGACCCCCTTAAGTGGCAAAAGTGGCTTCATTGCAACTTCGTAAACCTCTGTATGGCAACAACCAATTTGACTTAAAATTTTTCCAAGCGACATGACACATTACCTGTGGTAAGGCCTGGGATATGGTATCCAACAGAGCCCGAATACCTTGCGCTAATCTTAACAACTTGAGCACTGCACACACACGATGAGAGAGACGGTGACGACGGGAAAATAAAAAGAGAACATACAAAGTGCAAGAGAGAAAAACCATCAACCAATGTCATCATGCAAATTGTGCTGGCAAACCAAAACTCAAAACAATCATCATGACATATTTACATACTTGAGAACAATGCACCAATCACAAAACTGATGACAGCACGGAGTAGCCAATCAGGTTCTGACATACAGAAGCTGCTCATGCATATGTGATTACTGTTCATGCATATTCATGAAATACTGGAGCATAATGAATAATGCGAATTAAAAGCAGACAAATATGGGAGGGATCCAAACTTGAATGTCAGGTTTTGAAAGAAGAGTAATTTAGCATTTTGTACGGTGAATACAGAAGGCCATGGTCAACAATGCCGATTTCAAAAACAGCTTAAATTTCTCAATTTTCCCTCCAAAACCTTGAATCAAAAGTTTGGATTTCTCCCTCATATCACAGTCCCCATGCTAAAAAAGGATAAAACTGAACAAAAAAAGTAGTTAATACTGCCAAAATAAAGAAATATAGAATTAAAACAATGTAAAACAACGCTACATTAAAAATATACATACGGTCAGAAACATGCAGCAATCTGGATACAATTTTACATGCAATGAATAGACAAATGTGCCCCAACTATATGCAAGGGGCTTAAAAATGAACAAAACAAAACACCAAATTTGAAGGCATGCTGAGATGACGACGCTGTTACCTGTGGGATGGCTCCCATTAGAACCGCTAGGAGCTCTCGCAATCCTTTCATTGTCTTCATGATTTTCAGCACTGTCGTACACAGGGGTGGTAACGAGCAGGGGAAAAGAATCAGGTCAAGGGTCATGGGGTCACGATGTCATTGACAGGGAATTATGGGTAACAATGATTTTCTTTTCCAGTTGATCACTGGTGTTGCTGTGTGGGGTACCGGTTTGAGTCACTCCATTGTTTATTAAGCATTTTTGATGACATACTTTATTCTGAAAACTCAAGTACTGACATCAAAAATTAGCTAAAATTTGTTCATCATTTCTCTACAACCTAATTTACCCTGGGTTTATTCTAAACCTAAAAAAATTATGTCTTTTGATTTTTTTCCTCCTTATTAAACCAAACTACACCAAATCCTTCACAATCTTAACTACTAAGAAGGAATACGAACAATTTTTATATTCAATAACGTAAGCTATATGCAGTTAAAAGTAACATTTTGCAAAGCAAATTCTTCTCATCCTTACTTGATAAAAAAAGGTCCCCCCCATTAAAATTCAATGTTTTGTGATCAACAAATGAAACAGATGATGATTGTAAGAAAAATGACGAAGAAAAATGCCTGAGATATATTGAGAAAAAAATATGCAGTGTTATTAGAAATTAGTGATGTTAGTGAAAGTGTTAGACAGACACAGCAAAGCAAGATGTGTTACTGCAGTAGCTGCAACATGTAATTAACAACACAAGTATATCAGTAAACACACACTAGTAAGGAACAAAACTTTTGGACATAAGGCTGGAGAATTGACTAGTTTTCTTTACTTTTTTTATGAGATTGTTCGGAATAGATCCATGATATTTAACAGTCATATCCAGAATTCAACAGAATCAATGACTCTTGATGGAAATGAAAATAAAAATATTGAGTTTTTCCTTCAGTTAATTTTGTACAAATATGGCAAGAAGTTTTTCGTGGAAGGCAAAAATATGAGGAACGACGGTTGAAAGGGAACATGGAAGAAACAGCAAAGCGACCACTTCATGCTCAATGCACAAGCAATTCAGTCAGGCCATGCACAACTTCATTTCAATATTGCCAGATTTCAAATGACTGATCTGCATCCATACGCCATCTTACTTTCAAAATTTTTGCAAGAACAGCTGTCCCCATCTTTGCCAAACTCTCATCTAAATTGCACATCCCCCCCCCCCTGCGATTCCTTCAAACATTCCATGCATCATGCATATCAAGCAAGCATGCAGTGAGCAGGGTTGTAAACAAGTCCATCACAAGTCAATCATTTCAAAGTCAAGTGGATGACCTTTTCAAATGAACTGTGAAAGAGCCATTCCTCCACGGATATTCAATGACGCATTTTTGATACTTCTGACCTGACTTGCGATTTGACTTGCGAGTTTATGTGATTGACATGCGATTGACTTGACTACAACACTCAGAGTGTTAGTTGCAAGTTTCACAAAAGTAAATATACAATTGTTTTGTAAGAAATCCTGTTTATATCTGATATTAGAAAGGATTTTTGTGGGTGTTAGTTCAAAGTTGTGAGTGTTTTCAGTATAGAAGGGGTTAGTTATTAGTGAAATGTTAGCTGGAAGAATATAGACAAAGCAGAAAGTTTGTCAATGCCAGGAGTGCTTAATGAGAAAAGTAAACAGAATTGATTCAGAAAAAAAATAAGAGAAAAATAATGTGTGTGGTCAAAGATAAAGCTCAACTAAAAAATGGCGCTATCCAAACTAATTTACGCAACCCAAACTAAATTTGGATATAATCAAAGAAGGAAGCAATTTCCTTTTGTGAGGAAAAAGGTATCTGTTATAAACAAAATTTAAGTAATCGGTAATTCCAAAAAAAAAAAAGGCTCCCCAGTTCATACGAAGGACATCAAATTAAGGAAACTTATGACTGATTTCAATAAAATGAAAACCTGTACAGCATTATATTATTGTATCCTTAATAATCTTGTTTGGAAAAATTCAGCATTAATGTCCTATCTTAAAACTGTATATTTCAGGATCATTTTACACCAAACTTCCTAAGAAGACCGAAATGAAAGACAATTCTGAGACGATGCTTTAGTACTTAATTAAAATGAATTGCCTATCATTTGTTTCACTATATTAATAACAGCTAAAACTATGTCATCTTTTGCAGAATAATTAAACTGCTGATATTGTATTGTGTCCATGGGCAAGCCTGTTTACTCCAATTGCCTCACTCGAAAGGAGTATAAATGGGTACTAGCATGAGCTGGGGAGTAACCTGTGATGGTATGGGCTGGTATCCTATCCAGGGGGCAGAGATATCCTGCTATTTCATGCCAAGGAAACCTTTGGGGTAAATTTCATCAGTTGGCTCATTAACACACACTTGTCTTTAAAATATGTATAAAAATGTACCTCTGGCTATTCTGAGAACTCTCATGATTCTAATGATAGTTGGGTTGATGGGAATGATGTCTGTCTGTAGTTCCTCCAGGAAGACACCAATGATGGACAGAATGATGATGATCATATCCAACTGGTTCCATCTATAACAAACAAAACCACAAAGGGGAACTTACTGTTATCACAACATTCTTCAGAAAAATAGAGAAAACTCCTTTAAAACTTCATAAAATTTATGTAAGTATACTTAAAAAGATGAAAATTTTGTGCACTTTCATTTCCAAGTTGAAAATATTCATGCAAATCTTCACATAATAAAACATGTTCCCTCCCTTTTGTTATTCAGCTTTTACAAACGTTTATATCGCCAATCATTTGCGTGAGTTTATCAAATGTAAGGCTCTTCGGACCTGTCTTTGAAGTATCTCCTGAATCCAAGAGCTGTTATCTTGAGAATTGCTTCCAAGATGAAGACCACGGTGAAGAAATAGTTGAAGTATCTCAGAATCTCCTCAAGTGTCTGGAAAATTTATAAAGAAAGAGTGGGGATGAATGTATTTGACTGTCAGCGGCTTAAGTAACTCAGCTGCTAATTGGAAAAATTCTGCTAAATACGGAAAAGGCTTGCTGAGCAGAAACAGATCATCTGCTAAAAAGTCAACACATAACTCGCGAATCTGAAACGGGCTAATTCTTCCTTTCAATCTATTGTTGGACTGGTGTCCCTATTTGGGGGTAGGGCCTCTAGTTGTTAGGATGTTGCTTGTTGCTCTCCATAAACTTTGTACACAACCACTGAGGTGGCGTCTGGATACTACATTCTTCCAGTTTTTCTGTTCTGCAAGTCAGAATTGGTCATAATGAAGGACAATTGTACAAAAACAATCAGATATTCCTTTTCTGTGCTTAATAACTGAAATTACAAGAAATATCTACCTGTGACATCCCATAATGCTCCAGCGCCATGGAGATGACGTTGATGAAAATGACCGCCGCCACGGCCAAATCAAAGTACTTATTGATGACAAAGCTGTGAATGAGGCGCCGCCAACGCGAGTAATCAATGTAGTAAGGCCGCTCTCTCGCTCCTGATTGGTTGAACGGGTCGAGAAAAACGAGGAAAATGCATGAAGGAAAAAGTACCGAATACTAGGATTTGATTTTTTTTCTAGTGAGTTATTTTCTACTTGTGGTAACTAGAACTGCCCCCTACCATTTTGTTGTGCCTTAGGTTATTCATAGGCCGCACCGGGTTATAAATTGAGTGGCTTTCAATGGTGTTTGCTTGGATTTTACCGATATGGTTAATAATTGTTGTCAGTGTTTGAAAGTGACTTTTCTGGAATCTCTAAGCTATTACTATGTGCCCAGGGTGCATAGTGAATGGTGCATCTATCTAAAGAAAGGTTAATTCTTCTAATCTTAACATGATGCATAAGTGAATGTCTTAACCTATTCTTGCATTTTATAATATTAGGTGAAGTTATTTAACATCTTTATCATCCCATTAAGAAATATTACCAGGTAAATAAAAAAATATATATACTACATAGGTTTAACTGCATATTAGGGTTATATTTTTCTATTCCCTGATGTACCCAAATTGCTGCACGGAAAACTCATCACATATTTTACCATGTCTCAAAAAATAAGTGGACGAAAAGTTGTATTTTTTTTAAAGTGAAGTCAATGTTAAGATTTTTTGCTGCCAAATTTTGAGGGTTTTTTAATGTAAAACCAACGGTTTTTAGCAAGATGAGTTTTCAAGAAAGTTTATTCTGTCTCTACTTTTTGTTTGTTTAGGCCCAAGCCATAATTTTAATCCGGCCGATGTGGTCCAATCCAGCTGGATCCAGTTCAATCCAGTTCCACAGTCCAGTTTGGTGTGGTGTCGGTGCATGGGAGGGGGGGGGGGGGAAAGGTGGTTTTAGGTTACCAGGGAAAACCAAGGTTGAATGTGTGTGTAACAGAAATGAGGATACCGGGACACCCATGGATATAGAGTGTTTGGGGATATGTGGTTTTGGTATTTAAAAAAAGGATAGGGCATTATGCATGCTGTGCCCCCAACACTGCCCCAGCCAAATCCATAATTGCTCATGAACTATTATTGCTAGTTTGATATAATACAAAACTTATCTGGGTACCGAAATCCCCCCAAAATGCAGAGAAAATGTACCGTTTTGTTCAAATGATTAGTTTTTCACGTTAACACAAAATTGATCATTCTATCAAATACATGAGTTATTTTGGATTTGGCCAGAGGGATATTGGCGGCAAAATATGTTAGATCTTGAGCATGCAGGCAAGCAGAATTAACCCAAGATGATATCAGGTTATTAGTGGTTTGAAATTACTCATAGAGGATATTTAACCTCAAAAATGGTACCTTACCTCAAAATGGTACTTTACCTAACAAATGGTACTTTATCTCAAAAATGGAACTTTAACTCAAAAATGGTTCTTTACCTCAGAAATGGTACATTACATCAAATTTGGTATCTAAAAAATAGTAAATGGTACGTTGAATTTTGGTTTTGGACAACTGATCCTTTTACATAATATTTCTAAAAAAATAGTTATTTTATTCAAATTTCCTTGTGAATTGCACACCTTCATATTACATAACTATTTTGACTACTGAATGATAAGCCTTAATTGGACAAAACTAAAACAATGCCAAACTGATGTCCACCTGATATCTTGCTTCTAAAAATGCTCAAAACTTTCTTGTGCACTGATTAATTTTCAAGGATCTAACATTGTATTTCTTAGACATGCCGCATGCTAACATTCCCAAACAAACCACAAACATTCATTCTCTTCTTTTCATTCAAATAAAATCAAAATCCAGCAAAAATGCATCAATTGTTTCTTTTGAATAAGGCACTGTGCATGTACACAATATTGTCAAACCTGTACCATTTTCAGCACATCTTATAGGGAATCTAATTAAAAGATGCCCGAACTCTGAAACTCTTGATCAAAATTTTAAGCCAATAAAAATTTATACTAAAACGAATTGAAACTAAAGCATGTTTTCAGATAACTGTCATCCCAATATCATTCACGAGTGCATGCATTATAGAAATGATAAAATATACAATGGAATGAATGCACGTCCCAAGATGTTATCATGCATAGATGATGCAAAAATCATAAACAGAAATGGCTGATAAAGATGTGCTATTATTCTTTAATGTGGAATATCTTTTGAAATATTGAAGACGTTTTTCCAGATGGTTGGTTTGAATCCGATAAAAGTTGTGAATGAATGTACATTGGATTAATGAACATATGTCCCTCATTAAAATGTAGATTAAAAAATTAAGCAGTGAATTTTTGTTTAAATAATTGTGAAACACCTTGAGAGTTAATGTGTTAGCCTGCCACCAGGTTTTGTTTTGCGAAAAAGAAGTAAGATTGCTTATTATGATTATTCAGATTAGAAAGTAACTGTGACATTTTAAGGGACAATTCAATGTTACTTGTTTGATCAGAAACAAGCGTGTTCATTCAAAATACTGTCAAAGGAGTCTACGTCAGTATCTGACAGCTCAAACTTGACTCTTTTTTTATTTTCCAGAGGAAATTTTTGTTTTTATTTCAACCTCTGGATTAGAGAATCTTTCATCATCTCCAAAGTCACAGTTACTTCTCCAAAAAGTACGATAAATATGCATGAAAAGCATTTGAAATGTTTGAATTGTAAGACTGAAGAATACAAACTTACTGGGCTGCTCAATTGATTCATATGATATGGTGTCTACCAAAAAAGGAATGAAATAATCATCTAGCATGAATATGGAAACAAACTGAATTGCTACCTAAAGAAACATTACCTATTTTATGGAATGATAAATTTCTAAATAAATTTCTAGGAATAAAATAAACTAAAGATGAAAGAACAATGACACATAACAAAGACACACACTGTACATATTCTCATTTCAAAACAAAGTTTTACTACAAAAAGTTGTACTTTAGAGGCCTTCATGCAAATATACCTGTATCCATTTCAAAAAAAAGGGATTTTACTCAAAATGAAAATCATTCAAAGAAGCATTTTTCCCCAGAATAATTATACAGAAGCTGCTGTGTTCAAAATGTTACTCGATTCGATTTGCTCAGAGTTGGCTACCATGCTTTCTACTTTGCAAGCTTTAATCACACGGATCAGAATGTCACAGGGGAGTTTGAATTGTTTCTTGGCAATGTAAATTGGTAGAAAACCTCCCTATTCTGAATGGATACAAGCGCAGACAAGAGCCAATGACAGAATGATCAGCTCAAAAACTGATCGACGTCAGGACAATGAACTTCACACATTTCTTTGCTAATACACAGACGATGCACGTCACAAGCCGCAAAAACATGCGACATTTTCACAATTCAACAACAACACATGCAAACCAATATTTTTGCTCACTTACACAGAAACATACACAAAAACGAACTGGACAATCAATAAACACAACAAGCATTCAACAATCACAGACCAAGTAGACAATGCAAAATAACGCCATAAAACAAGAATGCAGACACTATAACACATGCATTGCTCACACAGGCTGTGTTAGTCACACAATGAAGGAATGTGAGCATGAGATCACGGAAAATGAAATCACACAGATGGACGATTGGATCATGCACTTGGACTGAATTGAACAGAAACAGAAACACGCAAGATTCTTTCCCTCCAGAAATCCTCATTTAAGGTAGGGACACAGCCTGGCATGCTGCCACAAAAGTACTCAAATTATTTGATAAGTCGTCAGGTCTCAAGCCAAGTCACAAGCTATTCAAATGAACAGTGGCAAGGATATTCCTTTGTCTATGTCATCCCATTACTTGGACAAAACTTGTGATTTAACTTGCAATTTCACTGTAACTTTGGCTTGTGATGGACACAACTCTGCGGATTTCGTAATTTGTTGACACATCTTGTAAAAAAACCCTGGAAACAGCAGATCAAACGTTTTGTGTAGATTTAATTTCAAAGTGAAGTAATACACAAACAACTTTTTTTCTTTCTTCAAAGAGTTCAGTAATGTTCCAGGGAATGTGAGGAAACAATGATCTTTCAGGAAGAACCTTGCAGTGTTCGAATCAAGGCCAGATAGACGTCCATTTTGAAGGGCTGTTGCCTGACGAGCAAAGCCCCGATAAATGGACTTGGAGTTAGAGAGAGAAAGAGACAGTAAGACAGAATAAAAAATAAACTGCCACAGTTTTTTTTAGAACGGAATTTGTGGCAGCAGCAGCAGCAATGTGGATACAAACCATCCCCCTGTCTTTGCCGCGACATACTCTGTCGAGCTTTCTCCAGCTTGCGTAGCCGCTTGGCCTGTCGCCTTGCCGACTCCTCCGCGGCTTGCTGCTCCCGGCATTTGTGGAAGTTCTCCACCACGACGCCCACGAACATGTTGAGGACGAAGAAGCCCACGATCAGGATGAAGGAGATGAAGAAGAGGATTAGCCACTCGTTGTTGTTTTCCTTCGGCTGTCAAATCAATGAAAAGATAACGGATTTCTGATATCAGTACGATGCAAATCAAAGGTTGCATCTGAGCTACTTCGCTAAGGCAAGCAGTAACACACGAGTCTATGGGAAGTAGGCTCCGCTGCTTCTGTAAGGGATTACTGTAGCCAAGTAATCCCTTTCTAGATGCCGTGCTACTGTCATGCCCAAAGTCAATTCATTTGATATTTTCGAATTCGGTAAGGCAATAGCACAGCGTTTAGAGCCATTTGGCTCGGCGAATCAAGTTTGGCACTGCACCATCCTGTGGCTCGACAGGGCTGCCGCGCTATCGTCGTTCTGAATGGCAGAGGCACAGCACTGTTCTAAACGCCGTGCCATTGCCGTGCCAAACTCAATTCAATTCAAAGTTGGTGCAAACATTTAAGGAATGTGTATGCTCACAATACCCTCTCTGCGTCCACATCACAGGGAGTGAAATTGGCGCGAATATGTTGATCGCGCTGAAAGTTCATTGAACTGCTTTAACCTGGCCCATTACTCCAGATGCGTTAATGTTTAACTATTACGTTTGACGTTTAGAGTAACTACCGTGCTGTAGACAAGCTATTGCCGTACTCATTTCAATTAAGTGTGGTATGGCAGTAGTATGGCGTCTAGAACGGGAACTAACATCGTAAAAGTAAATTGACTAAGTTTGAAATTTGTCAAATATTTCGAAGCTTGGTTTCGTGGTGTAGTCATGACTGCAGATAATGGGAACACTGTACCTGTTTGTCCACACCAACAGCATCGATGCCATTGTACATAATCTCCACCCACCCATCTTTGGAGGCCAAAACAAACAGCGCCATCAAGGCCTGAAACGAAAAAAATATATACATAAATAAATAAATGCCTTTAAGTCATAGAAGGCTAAAGACTAGGTGCATCTCTTAGTGAAAGGGATGCCCTAACAAGCATGGACACATAGTGTCAATGGTGCTCAACATCCTTCACTATCGCTGCTTTGTGCCATTTCTGCCGTTGAGGGGGTACTTCTGCGCGCACTTTATTGCGCGTCACTGCGCATCAATCTCAGCCAGCTAAGAAACCCAGCTGGCAATATGTGGTATGCTTTCCTATCAAAGTACTGTTGCCAGTCAACATAGTTCGAACCATCCGGTTCGTTAGTAAAAATGTCATACACGCCGCGCACCACTGATTACCAGCGCCCATTGGATAAACGCTCGAGTTGTGTTAACTTCCGGTTCCATTCTTGCTATGATACACCCTGTGAGGTATTCATGGTTGAATTGAGTTGACGTCACACTAACGGACCGGATTGAGTCAGTTTTCGTACTCAAAGAGGAAGCCTACCTGGCCCAAGTCGTCAAAGTTGTACTGCCGATTGACCCACTGGTTGTTGGGGTGAACCTGGGTGCAGTGCGTCCTGTTCATGACGTTCTTGACTTTGGGACCAGAGCAGTAGTAGAAAGTACCCTTGAATAGCTGCAGAGATATAGAAAAGACACACAATAGTTTAGTAGATTAAATAATAAAAGTTCAGCTCATACATGTACAATGAAATGGCTTTCAACCAACAGGGCCCAATTTCACGGCACTGCTAAGCACATGATTTGCTGCTAACAGAGCCTCCATCTATTTCATGGAGACTGTAAGCATAAGCACAGTAAAAGGCACGCTTACTTCAGAGGAAATATTTGCTTAACTTAGTGACATAACAATAGAAATCTCCATGCACGCGCGACCGTTAGCACGTCCACGCCGTGAAACAGTGCTTAAGGTTAGCAAATGTTTCTGCTATGCTAAGCACAACTTTTCTGCTAACTGTTAACCAGCATTTTGAAATTGGGCCCAGGCCTGCTAGAATCCACACGAGCCTTAAATTTTAGAAAATGTGTAACATTCGTGTTAGCAAAGTCCAAACTTATTAATGACTTGATATTTTGGTCGAAGAATGTGTGTAAACGGCAATTTTCTTGAGCATCCTTACCTGAATGCCTAGGATTCCGAAGATGACAAAGAAAGTGCAGCAGATAATGACAATGTTACCGATGGGACGTAGTGAGGACATCAGGGTCTGAACGACCAGCTTCAAACCGGGTGCTCTACTGATGACCCTGTCAAGAGAAGCAAATCTAGCTCAACGAAAAAATTCCGTTTTATTTCCTTTGAATTTAACCCTTCAAAGGCCCCAATGGACCCCCTGTCTGTCAATTAAACAGTCCGCATTGACCAACTGACTCAGTTTTGCTGACATACTATAAAAGCTAAGGCTTTGCATGACTCTCCCTTTCCCAGGAAAAGACCTGTTTTTTTGCCAGTTGCTGGCCCAAATGCAATCTGAGGCTGACTGTATTAAGGCCACAGAGAAATCAATCTGGCAAACGCCCACCCCACACCAACCCCCAATTGTGGCAAGGCAACCTGCCTCTGGGTACCGGTATATCTCAGCCCTGACTGGTGCCCTCCAGTTACCCCGACCCCCTCTCCTTTTTGGCGCATGAACCAACCCATTCCTCACGGCCATGCCAATCATCCACCCAAACACTCGGTCACAAGCATTCTGAGGAATGTTCACAAACCAAAGGTAGCAGGGCTTATGACCAGATCCAGGACGTTCCATTACCTCAATGGTCTGAGAGTCCGTAGTAGCCTGAAGACCCTGAGTATACCAAAGATCTCGGGACTGTTTGACGAGACAAGGCTGATGGTGATGTCGATCCAGGAGATGACCACCAGGCTACCGTCCATGATATTCCAGCCGCTGTAGAGGTACGCGTGCTCACCGATGAAGAAGCCTTTGGCTAAGACCTTGACCACCATCTCAAAGGTGAAGATGCCCGTGAAGATGTAGTTGGAGATGCTCAGGAACGTCCGTTCCTGGGAAGAGTACAACAAAGATGAATAAAGATTCAATTTTGGTTGACCCTGTGTCAAAGGTCATGAGGGCAACATTGTACGAGCTGATCTCTAACTCTATATCTGAGTGAGAAATTGAGACAGTGTTCAGACTAAAATAAGAGGAAAATTGCAGGGCATCTATTTCCCTCTATCAGCTTTGGGGAAATAGGTCATTGTGGTCATTCACAAACAGTTGGGGCAATATAAGTTCACTAGTGCCCTCACTACTAGTCAATAGGCATTTGGAGTCAATATATGTTCACTAGTGCCCTCACTGCCAGTGAATAGGTGTGTATTCACAGAGGGTTGGAATCAATATATTCACTAGTACCCTCACTGCCGGTCAATAGAAGTATATTGACTTTGTACTGGTCCCTTACCACGCTATCTTCCTCAATGTCGGGTCTCTCCATGGCCAACGTGATGCAATTGATAAAGATTATGAGAAGGACGGCATAGTCAAACCAGCGATGACCAATCAGGCCTTGTAGTCTCCGCCGAAATCTGACAAGTAACAAACCAAAAAGTCACAGGCATATAACTTGACTTTTAACAAATTTTTTTAGTATGGTTATTGAGTTTTAGTAGGAGTTTGTGCTTTCACGTTACACAAGAGACAACAAAAAAATATCTGATGATAGCAAAAACACTTTTTTCCCTTTGTTTTGAGAAAATCTTGGTAAGTGAAAATGCTGTAGGTCTACGACTAATAAAAAGTGATCACACAGATAGTGACATCCCTACAAAATATCTCTTCCCTCTAAATCTTTTAGGGTACAATATCCAAGATAAAGTTACATGAACCCACCTATTATGTGGTGATAGAAGGTACAGAGAATATTCTATTCTTGTCTTGAAGCATCCCTTGGGCTCCGGGCAACACTTGGTGCAGTTGCAATCCTGGACAATCAAATTATAACAAGGAATTTTTAGGGAGCAAATTTTAACAGAAATGGATCAAATTTAACACTGGGAGAATTCAAACCCTTTGCTGGAACAATATAGTATTGTGAAATATTTTGAAAACTGAACAGTTCAAACAACAAATACAGCATTAAAATCCAAAACAAAACCACTAGAACTTTCTAACGTGATTTCTAGTATGTTTATGTTTGATATGAAGACGGAAATTGAAGGAATTCTGGAATATTTTCGTTGCCATTTCAACGGTTTACGATGTATCAGATAAAACCCTCATGCCATCAATAAAATGAATGAATTTTGGCGTAAGTCTGTGAATATTTGTATATTTCTTAACCAATAACATTGTCAAAAGTATTTAAAATACACTGAATAAAAGACAAAAGCTAGGTATAAAGATGCAACACAACTACAAGAAAATCTATTTTTAAACAGATGCAAAGATTTGCAATCAAATATATTAAATTATAAATGTCAAAGTAGGCAATTCTGAATGAGTTACAGGGTTTACAACAAAATTACAAGTAGATTTGTTTCCGTTGGGGAAAAAAAACAAAGAGGTTAAAAGCGAAAAAAATATTTAATATTGTATAAATCATCAAAACTGTATGAAAATACAATGAGAAATTTGCACTGTGCTACATGTTAGAACTAAACTGTATTAACTCAGGCAAGATTCACATGCAAAAAGTATATTACTATCAAGTGAAAAGAATACGCAAACTAATGAAAAGGAATATTATGAGAGAATGAGTTGTTCTAAAGGGATGTTGCAGACAATCATTTCTAGTAGGTATTTGAAGATGGTATTGATTAGTGATCATGCAAAGAGACAATCAGAAGTAATGAAATGAAATGGCAAGCGCTATTAATGTCTCTGGCATGCAGATCAAATGGAGAGTTACCCGCCCACAACAGGTACAGTACGCTTCGGTTTCATCGTCATCATCATCGTTGTCATCTCTCATGGATATTTTTACATCATCAGTTTCATTCCCTTCAATGTGTGTTTTACTCATCGACATTCCGTTACCCCCGGCCTGCCAGTCCGCGCCACACCCACAATCCGGGGATTGACATTTCACGCTTAGCAACTGAACATTCCTCGAACTCTTACTGCACGAGGATACAAAGTGACTGCGGTTCCGTTTCTTGAATTTGGCGGATATGGGCACGTGCTTGTTGTGATTGTCAGCCCACGTTACGTGAAATTCGGGAGCTGGCTGGACATTTGGTGAGTGGTGAGAGGGGTGCTTAAAATAGTTATGCAAATCTGAACTTTGACCTTCCATTTCCTCAAATTTGCCACTTGACCGGCTTTCTCTAGCCTTATTGTCAATTTGGGTATTTTCGTTGCAAACGTTGACCGTGATATGCCAAAATGCTTCGGAGTTCTCACGATCAGATTCATCAAAGTTTCTATTTTTAATCACAACATCCCAATCCCCTTTTGCGGAATCCGACTTGGACACATTTTCACAAGAATGGGGCATGCCATTGCCTGGTTTCATGCTGGGTTTAGGCGGCTGTGCCTTGGGTGTGGTGGGGGGGGGGTGAATGAAAGTGGGTGTGGTAGGGCGTGGCAGGCAAATTCAGGCACATGATGAATCGTGCAGGAGGTGCAAGGATGCAGGAGGGTGCGGGCAATCCAATGAGGAGGGATGCAAAATTAAAAGAGTTAAATGTAAGTGTCATTCAACAAACATTCATGTGACGTCAAGCAATGTTAAGGTGAAAGTGCACTTGTGATATGCTGAGGTAAACCACAGCAAAAGTATAGTACAAGTGCATGTGAATGAATGACACTATTGACCACCAGTTCGCACCGGATGACGTGTATACAGGCAAAAGTTTTGTGGTAATCAGAATGGATGACAGATAAACACGCAAGGAGCGAGGCCAGAAATATCCGTCAGCGACCCGCTCACAGCGAGTGAGGCCAGAAATATGAGTGTGCTGCCCAAGGGTGGTGGCTTCAACATGCCTGGCTTGAGGTTGAGTGAAAAGTAATCCCGCGCCTTCTTCAAAATAATCCCGGCGCGAACTGGTTAAAGCAAATCGCAATCTCAAATTCAAAAGAATTATTTCACTGATCATGCAATTAAAATGAAAAAAGTCCAAGCTGAAAAACTCAAAATTATCAATAAAATGATATTGATTAGCAAGAGTAAAAACCAGTAAACTGATATATCAGAGAAAAAAAAAGAATCAGTAAAACGGCATTAGCCATGCCACTTATAAAATATGAGATATGAATTATCAATTGACTGAACTCCACTACAATCCACTTGATTGAATGATCCAAGACGTGAGTTCTAACATGAAGATTTACCCCAGGTAAGCAGAAACACTTCCTGCCCAGCTCTGCGCTTTGCTTCGTCTGAGTGGAGGGGGAGTGGAGAGGTCGCGGTGGTGATGATTGTGGTGATGGTGGTGGACATGGTGATGAAAGCATGGATGAAATGGTTTAAAGATGAATGGATTAAAAACAGAAGGATGGATGAATGATAGGAAGAAATGAATCAGGCTGATTTGAAGTATGTCTAATGATATAATGGTGGCAGGCGCGGATCCAGGAATTTTTGTTTTAGTTTAGTTACATTTTTTTGCTGAGCAATTACATTACACTGGGTCCAAGGCTCAATCCCTCGCAGAATGATGGATTCTGTGCTTATGAATAAGTGATTATCCTTCCGTGCTTACAGCCCAGCACAGAATTTCCATGCTTATCTGTAAGCGCCAAATCCCTAGGCATGGGATTATGCTTCTAGCCATACTTCAAAACAGCCAAGAAATGACAGTTGAGAGAAACAAAACCACTGGCTACCATAGTGTGGTGCAATGAATGTCAAGTGAACATTGGAACAGACTTCAGGACAGGCAACGTGCTTTATCAGACAAAAAAAGTGAAAAACGTCAACAACTTTGGTTGACTTGAATCCAAAGCTACATGCATTAGCCGTTTTGAGATACCGTGGACACAATACGAGGGCGCTATTTGCAGTGAATAACCTCTTTTGTATGGAACCAAATTTACCCACTTCAAAATAAAAGTGTCCACCTATTGTGTTCACCATATCTCAAAAAAGCTAATTAAGCTGTAGGCCTACTACTGTGCATCAATGAATTACCTTGCTTTTGACATTATGGGAAAGCAAATACACTAGAAGTGATCCGTAAAAACATAATGTCGTATTTGCAGAAAAAAAATCTTCTCAAAATGTCAGAGTGTGATGGCAGTACTATACAGTTGACACCTTGGCAACCGCAATTCCCCACAGAAACACTTTTACACTTTAACCGGTATGAATATGTTCCGCATCAAAGAACAAAATATGAATCTTTCATAGGAGATTTTCACACCAAATAAAATTTGGCTTTTTTTTTAGATAAGTCCAGGTTTTCCAAATTATGTGGATGAATAAAAAAAATGGGCTGGTGGAATGGGGAATGCTGAATTTTATGTGTTTCTGATAAACTCATCATGCCCTGTTAAGTACTTTATCATTAAACCAATATGACTTGAACTAATGTCTTTATGGAGAAAACATGTACACATCATGGTTTTGAAATTAAGATGGGGACAAACACAATATAAATGCTAACTACATATGGTGAGTGGGTGGGGGTACATATTTTGATTTTTTATACAAAAACCTAAAACCTTGGTGTCATTATAAGAAAAATTATCAACGTTCACAAGTTTTGCTTTGGTCCAAAGCAAAAGGATAATAATTCTGCTTATAAACATGTGAAGAAACTATAAGTAAGAACAAATCTTTGCAAATATTTTTGTAAGGATTTTTGTAAGTGTCGTCTTTTACTTTAATATAATATCTTTGATAAATTTCATGCTCTTGTAAAATTCCAAATTTGATCTTGTTTACATTTTGGTCGTCTTCTCTGAATTATAATATATTGAGATAAATAATCCCTTCAGATTGTTTAAGAAGTCCTAAAAAAAAAATTTGGAAAAAAATCCATTTCCAACGTTGATATCTACTTTGCCCACAATGATTTACAAGGTTGAGCTTTTAAGCACCAACGTGTCTACCAAAAACAACGCCACAGGGTTTCTAGTAATACTCTTAAAACTCTTAAAACAGAACACAAACAACTACATTGCAATGAGCTAGGGGAAAAGCTCCGTCTTGTTTGGATAGTTGAATGGCCACTGTCAGGGCAAAAAACAAGTTGGGAAATGGCCTCAAGAATATTCAACTACATTAGGGTTAATCCTCTTCAACAGCAGTGCTAGGAAGTGATATCACCTCAGGTGAAGTAAACGTCAAAGGAAAATGGTGTCACTATCTTGCATCGGGACTTACAAACTTGCTAATTTTCATGAAATGCTCATTTCATTAAATGTGTCCTAACTTGGTGCCCAACTTGCCAAATAACATGCGGCAAAAGCGGTGTTACATCATTGCGTAAATTTGCGTAAAATCTTCCTGCTCAAATAAACTGACTGTTAAAATCGAAAAGTCGAAGTATTTAAGACTTACTGCTTCATCGTCTTGATCGGGATCTTCGATGCTTTCCTCATCTTCCCGATTGCTCATCCTACCCACGGATCCCCTACTCCCCCGGCTGCTTCGTTTCTCAGCTTCCAGACTGTGCTTGTCCAGCTGGGCAGTGAAGGAGCCGCCATTGCATGAGATGTAAGATGTGCGTCGACTGTCACCGTTGCAGCTTGCTATGGACGTCCTGCGACTGTCGCTGTCCGGGACGTAGCCGTTGTGGTCGGAAGAACTCCTAGTCAATGAGGTAGAGAATAAAATACTAAATGAAGACCTATCTTCTGACTTTTTTTCTCTAGAGTAAAGTTTGTGTCAGTGACTACAATACAAAAACATTACTCAATGCTCCTTTGACCGATAAGTTTGCTAAAATAACATGAGATAAGGAAGACAGAGTCGCAAAATTCCCAAAAGGAGCCTGAATTTATCCTGTCAGTACTGACTTGAGAAGCCCTGGATTTGCTTACGACAACACTACATTTTCACACCTTCGACTGCTGATGCGACTACTGATGTTGGAATGACTGTCGCTGTCCAGGCCATGGTCTGCCTCAGGCAACTGGAAGGGACGTAGGTAGTTCCTGTCCCTGACGTGGGCCGGGTTGGCTGACAGCCCGCCGCGTTGCCTGCCGGAACCATTCCTGGAGAGATTACTGCGTGGGAGACGAGGCGAACCGTGGAATTGCAGGGAGGACTGTGGGGAGAGGAAGATTGATGGAAATATTTGAGTAAGACACAAATACGTGGGCATAATTTCACTGAGTGGAAACTTCTACTTAGCCAGAATCAGCTTGGAACCAGTTATAACCAATATATAATACATGGCAGATTGGCTGGTTACCTTCTCTGCTAAGCGAATACATTGTATGTTAAGTCAATCTCTTTGTTTATCTCTCTTATATCTCATATCATTTTTCTGCCAAACATGAAACGCAATGTTCCGGAGGTTCAACTTCAAATCTCAAGCCACTAATCCCTGTACTGCCCTAAACTGCCCTGCCTGTTACTCCCTTTACTGCCCTAAACCGCCCTGCCTGTTACTCCCTGTACTGCCCTAAACCACCCTGTCTGTTACTCCCTGTACTGCCCTAAACCACCCTGCATGTTACTCCCTGTACTGCCCCAAACCGCCCTGCCTGTTACTCCCTGTACTGCCCCAAACCACCCTGTCTGTTACTCCTTGTACTGCCCCAAACCACCCTGCCTGTTAATCCTTGGACCGCCCCAAACTGCCCTGCCTGTTACTCCCTGTACTGCCCCAAACCGCCCTGCCTGTTACTCCCTGGACCGCCCCAAACCACCCTGCCTGTTACTCCCTCTAATGCCCCAAACCGCCCTGCCTGTTACTCCCTGTACTGCCCCAAAATGCCCTGCTTGTTACTCCCTGTACCAGCCAAAGCCCCCGAACACTCATTGCTTTGATAGATTCATAAGTAAATAAATACAATACATTTTTACGGATTTCAAAATCCAACTGACCAAGGATTGGGTGTCGGAGTCGATGGACTGAGTGTCTAGGAAAGGCCCCTTGATGAATCCTTTAGGTTGTTCACACATGGGCGAGCCCTGAGGCGTGGCAGCGGTGCGGGTTATGATGGGTGGACTCATCAGGGTGGCTGGGGCGGGGGACATGGTGGTCTCGGGGGCGGGTAAGGCCAGTTGCTTCTCATCTGTGGATTGAGCAAGGATAGAAAACAAATAAGAGTTGTACTTTGGACGTAGTTGTCTTTAGGACACCCTGTGGGTTACTTTGCATGCCTAATTTGTTAAGCAACTTGAATGCCCTGTTTTCAATTTAAGGCAAATTTTGGCACCTCATTTTTCAAAATACTGACTAAGGCCCAGTTACTATAGGGCCGGTCCATACTTGGCACAATGCAAATGTGAATGCCGTTGAGAAAGTATTTTTTTGCAAAGTATTTCTTATTTTTCAACCAACCTCTGGTTAAACATTCAAGAAGCCCATTTGTACTCCTGAGTGGACGGAGGCAATTGTAGTAAAGTGTCTTGCCCAAGAACACATGCACCATGTTCCTAGTCAGGGTTTGACTGCACGCACCATAAAACATTTGGAGCACTTTGAGACTTGAGTATAAAGCACTGTAGAAGCATCATATCATTATTAGTTATACCTGAGGTATCTTTACCCGATGTGACCGACTGTACGTCGTTGCCCTCCTCCTTTTTCTCATGCTCCTCCCCCGAGTATCCCTCATCCTCCTCCAGACTCTCGTGGCTGGCTGCGGCAAGACTGGACTCTTTCTGTTCATTGTACGGCTGAAAAAAATGAGCAGAAATAGTGATCAAGAAAATGTACGTAATGAACAGTCTGAAAATCCAACCTAGCATGCTACTGCATGATTTCTATGGACACATAAGGGAACACACCTTAAGCTACAGGGATCCAAAATCTAAACCTAATTGTTTGAAATAACTAGTTTCTTAAAATTTGCATTCTGGATGTGATACTGAGTTAACAACAGGACTTTTAAAAATTCTACAAAACTATTTTAAACAGTTTTATGGTCAAAAATGAAAATGTTCATGACAACTTTAATGTATATTTTGAAAGTAAAGAATGAATGGAAATCAACCATGATTTAATGACGTGAATGTAAACACAACAGTTCAAAATACGCAAGTCATTTTCAGCTCGATTGGCTAAATTTTTGAAACAACACGACTGTCAAAATTGCCAAGCATTGGCTGCTATTGTCTCACAAACAATTATGCTCGAGTTCAAACAACCCGCGATAAACTTCCATGTCCATGAAATTGAAGATGATTTTTTTTCTCCTCACAAAAGGGAAATCAATTTTGAATTCTGCATCCTTTTGAAAAACACAGGACTTAATTGAATCACAAGGTCACATCTCAAGGAAAAGCGAGCGTTGCAAATGCATCATCGAGTGAATTTTGCTTCGTTTGGGATTCATCGCGTGTATTGTCTGTCTTTATAATCACATTAATCTTTCAGGCAAAAGTCCTTGGGATTTTTTTCTTTTTCAAACATATTTTGATGTTATGCCAATGCTTGCGTAATGATTTATATTTGTTGACATATGAAGACACTCAGAATAATTTATGCCGCAAGTGAAAAATGTGAGAAACTTATTTTTTAAAGGAAACTAAAAAAGTGTTGATGTTCCCAGACAGAAAATTTAAAAATAAGATTCATATTAGCTTTAACATTTGAAAAGAATAATTCAATGCTTTTAATGATTATATTTTTGCAGTGTTATAATTGCAAATTTACCTGAACAGTTTTAACTGAACTGCTGTTTTTTAAAACAAATTAAAAATAAGACAATGAAACGGAAGAAAATTGTTACTTACAATTCTCAAGACATTTTTGAGTTAAGTATAAAACAACAACATGCATTGAACTTTTGAATGATAAGAAGGCGATTTAATAAGCTTAATGCACAGGGAACAAGCTTTAGAATGCACCCACTCTCAAGCCAAAATTGGTTTCTTTCAAATGCTGTAGGGAAAAAGTTTCTGGAAAGCGTAAAACCTTGACTGAACAAAGGGATTATCACAAACGTGCCAGAGTTTGTGGTAATGGCGACAAGAAAATAAAAGGAAAGTTGTGTGGGGGAGTATTTTAATACTTACTTATCTAATCAACCAAAACTAACAACAGAAAAAAGTGGTAGTTCTGACAAATACTGAGAACACAGAACACAACTTAAATTCTCTTCTAAGAGTGCGTCTTGCTTTAAAACAAAAAAACACTCAACATCCGTTGGTTTAAAAAACGAAAACCAATCCATCATGTAGCACTCTTAAGAGACTCCTGATTAAGTTAGAGGGAAAAGGAGTGACGTCTGCGAACATACATGTGGGAATATCGGCAGCACTCACACACATTTGCAGGCAACCAATGCAAACACAGATTTCTTGAAATGTCACACCCGTGCACAAACATGATCAAAGCGCAGACACTGCAGAATCAACCATTACTAATTTGCGGCTTCTGTTTGTCCATGGCCATTTTCTCTATTTGTATTGTGGAACATTCTCATCAGGAGGGTAGAGTGTTTGTACAGTGGACCACTCTAAACTACACTATTTGCTCATGTTCCACAGTAATACTTTGCATTTTATGTAAACATCAGAAATTGTCCTTTTTCTCAGGCAGCATACAGAGTGGTACTACCACAGAATATCTCAGCAGTATGCCAACCCAAACATTTGCCAATCTTGACTTTTTTCATATATCACATTCATTATTGGAATAATATATTTTCAGGAAACGACCTTGTTAAAAGTGTACTAATCATATCAAAACTTTTCACAGAAGAGTACAACAAAACAAAGCTGGTTTGTAAATAAAAGATTTCAAGGAATGAAACTACTAACAGCAACAAAAATACTAGAGCACAAAAACTTACCCCAAAACACAGCTGCTATCAATGCATGCAAATTAACGGAATCTAAAAGCTTGTACTTCATCTACGTGTAATTATATTATAAGTTTCCGTCCACAGAACTAAAGGGACACGAGGGACCAAGGTACTAAAGGGGTTGCACTTGGGGAGATGTTGGGCATGCTTAGACCCTATTCAAGTTTGTGTGTGCAATTTGTGTGTATTTTGTCACTGCACAATTTAAGTAGACATTCGGGGGGGGGGGGGGGGGGGGAGGGAGTTGTTGAAAGGATCACTACGCTACACAAGGACTTCAAACATCGATGCAAAATTTGGACTGATAAAAAAAGCTCAGTTACTTACCACAACAAAAAAACATGGAAGTGGCCAGATAGTATGACGTGGCATTGGCACGAAGACAAAGCAAGAATGAAAATGTCAAATGCATTAGAGTAATATCAGTTGTCATGGTAACGCGGGAAGGCAGAGAGGCACTGGTGTGGAATGACACACAGCACGGCAGGTGTTTTTTGTGTGATGGTAGTAGGATTACCCGACCGGTACTTGGTGAGACGCGCTCATTAAAGATGCATGTTTGTCCGGCAATCTGACAATGTTGCCTCCTCCTCGAATACTTGTTTACAACGACATGTTATGACAACTTGAATGTTGGAGAATTTGTATTAAAAGCTATATGTGAACCATGGATATCATCTCAAACATGTGGTTATTTACAGAATGAACCCTCTATTATACAGTCAACGACAAAACCAAAAAGCTTGCTAAGGTCTGTGTAAAGATTTAATCTGATATAATAGGATGATTTGTACGAATCTTTTATTAAAAATATTTATATTTGTGTGTAATTGTCTGTTTACTTTCAATTACAAATCAAAGATTTAACATTACAAATGTGTAAACAAGAGCTCACAAAAATAGAAAAGGCTTAAAAAAAAAAAAAACAGAAAAAGTTACTCTCGCACAAGGGTGTGACTTTTGGGATATCGAAATTGAAGAAATATCTAAATTGACTGTCTAAAAAGTAAATTTAGTATTTTGTAAAGTTTTCTCCAAAGAGCGCCATAGAGCAAAACACAGACCGCGGCGTTGCCGCAGAACCTTGCAAACTGTTTGTGTTTGTCGCGTGCCAACGATGCTCAATTAGTACTGACAATAATTCTGTGAGTCACAATCTTATTGTCCGTGTTATTTGTGGAAAAAAATCCTCCAGGCTCCGAAAAAACACCAGTGACTCCTGACATTTCAGCGTATTAACAATGCATGTATTGTGTGTACACTACAGGGACCCTGTATTATCAAACAACCTTCAAATATGAATAAGTCTAGTCAAAGAATACGGAAGAACGTCAAATGACAGGATGGTGGGGACAAGAGAGACGGGAGAATGAATAAAGACACGGACAGACTTGGGTTGAGTAATGTGCAAGATTTCAGGATGATGTGTGTCCCGCTCCCTGTAGACATTAACATGCATCGCTGGAGTGTCTGCTCTTTCTGAATTATTGAGAAGCCTGTGAGATGGATTTTCTATGAGCGCTGGATGGGTTTGCACAGACCAACGGGGCTGGGTTTTTGGTGTGTCTTTGAGGAAACATTAACTGATGGGGAGAGTTCTGTGGTGTCTTTTAGCAGCGGTTTGTTAAGAAAAGTACAAGAATACATGAATTTGTGAACTTCAGATTTTGGGAGTTTTAGATTGTTTACAGCAAGAGGGGTTTTATGTGAAACAAAGTATGAGAAACTGATATGCTAAAGCATCTTGATCTTAACACTGCTCCTAATTCCAGGTTCTCACTGAACAGGCCACCAACTACGGCTGGATAGCTCAGTTGGTAGAGCGCTGCAACTGTGTAGCAAAGGTTACAGGTGCGAATCCCACCACATTCAATTTCTTCATTCAATCCCATATTGATCAATGTGAATTTAGTAAGGGTTTTCTATTTGTCCTTTTATTTTAGGCTTTATTCGTTATTCGTACAGAATGTTAACACGAAGCAAAAAAATCAACAATTTTCCAGATGACATCAGAACATTGAAACGGTCACCCCTCAAAAATTAACATGGACGGGCGATTAAAACAGATATGTAGTCTCAAAAGTGAAAAACTGGTCAACTTGAATCGCTACAGAAATTTAAAATCATGAATTCTGATGCAGATGTTTGTTGTCCACTTTTGTACGCTCTTGGGGGAGATACGACGGGAAAAAAGTCTAGATATAGACCACATTAAAACCACATTAAAGTTTCAGCAGCACCTAATCTTTCTGTTTGCGAGGTCTATTTTTGGTGCAGCGGAAGAACTTAAGAAATCAACAGGGGAGAAAAACAAACGCTTGCAATCTGAAGGCAGACTCTCACTAGATTTAAAAGTGACATATGTGAATAGATGAATAGCCCGGTTCAGAAGCTAGAAGTGGCATCATAGAATTGGAATTGAGATAAATCGTCCGTGGGGAAATTGTTTACGAGAGGAATTTCTTTTTTATTTTATTAATCTATTTTTTAGGGGCATAAAAATACCAATTTCAAACATTTGCTGATGATATAATTCGCTCCCACCTCTCAACAAAATAAAGACTTTTTTTTAATGAATGCAATTTTTGCAAGCAGGTTGCTGCAACTTTTATGTTTTTCCTACAAACCGTAAACGTTAAAATGCCTGATGTTTCGATCCTATCAGAATGTTATTCAAAGATTGGAGAGAAGCCCTTTGAACTTTTTTAATGAGCATATTTTAGACCATTCTAGTCAGTCAGCAGTTGAAAACACTTTCATGTCACTTTCGTTTCTTTGTTTCATAAGTCGGGAGAAGTTTTATGGATCTCACCTCTGCAGCGAAGCCTTCCACGAGGATGGCTACCAGGAGATTGAAGAGGACGTAGTTACCAAACGTCATCAAGGCGATGAAGTACAACGCTGCCCAAGCTGAGTTGTGATGCATGCCGTTGTATAGGACTATGTTCCAATCTTCCTGGGTCAAAATCTTTGGTGGGGGGGATGTGAACAGAACGAGATAGCACAAATCAAAGACATTGGGAAAAATGAACGACCAGGCTTGAAATGTACGCTGGACCTCTGTGCCTTTTATGATCACACTGGACCAGTGGTTTTACAATACTGATAATTTCTAACAATGTCAAAATTCAAACGATAAGCTTTATGAACTAATACTCACCGGAATGATACATTCTTTTAATGTCTGAACGTGACCGGTGATCTTGGTTTTTGATGGTTTTTTTAACCTGAATCTTTCCAAATGAACGCATTATTTTGATTCAAAGTGCAAATGTACACTTTGTTCTTTTTAAGCTTGATTCAGCAGTACATTTACTTCAGTTTTTTTCCGTTCCTGTTTTGGTCATGGGGGAATGAGATCCAAACATTTTGAGAGGTAAATTTTGTTACTGTCATTTTCAAAATAGGGAGAGCTTCCCTTATGTGTCACTTCTAGTTTACCCCGTACAATTTATGTGAGGAAATATAAAAATGTAAATATGAACAAACAAAAACATCTCTGATTTGATTCCAACATAATTTCTGGAAGATAAATCACTCAGAAAATTGGGGACAAAAACATGTTGTGCCCGAGTGCTGGATGTACACTTTGCAGGGCATGAAAAAAAAGCACATAGTCCGACTTCAACAGGAAACAACGGCAGGGGGATGAAAATGCTCCCATTAGATTTACATTTGCTCCGACGTGGCTCCGTCGCCATGGATACAAGGGTCGTTATGTGATGTCACATGCCGCCCGGCTGGCAAAATCAACGGCTTAATGTGTGCTTAAGTGCAACGCAGCGAGCTTTTTTTAGCAACCCCCGGTGAATAACACTGCAAATGTTTCAATGCAAAACATGTTTCATGTTGTGCTCCGTTACTTATCCCGTTTCAGGCCCGAGTCATGTTTTACTGCTTACTCTTATTGGGAAAACAGCTTAAATGCTATTTCAAAGCTTACAGAAGCTGACTCGTGAGTTTAAGAGCTATACAATCACATTGTTGGATATCTTTAGGGCGTCTTAAAACAATAATCATTGGGGTTTGTATCCCAATAGTTTCAGATGTGATTTCTGCCACAGTTTCGCTGCTAGGATAAATTGTAGTAAGCCATTTCAACTAGGCTTATAATCCCATGACATTTATTTAAGGTAACACGGCACTCACATCTAATGAATGTAGCACTGGAATTGATCTTTATAAAAATAATAAAGAGTACATTTAGCGTATAAAAACAATCAAGAAAATGTTTTTCTTACTTGGAAGACGGTGACAAGGGCCCAGAGCAGGCTGTCAAAGTTCTTCCTATCGCACACCTGTTCCCCGTCCACGTATCTACAGAAGTTGCAGCCGAACAAATGCATTCCCAAAATACTGTGAATTAAAGAGAAAACAAATTAAAAATATCAAATCTACAAAAATATATTTAAATTGCAGATATTTATCAAACCAATGCAAAGATTATAGAAGGTTTGCGTTAGTATTTTGTGAAAATCTGTTTTGAGTTGGACGTGTTTGAATTTCAATCGGTATGCTATGATCATCTTCAGTGAAAAGCAAGCAACAACTAATTTCAATTTTCTAAACAATAACATAGCATGAAAAAAAAATAACATGAATTTCTACACTTATGTAAACATGGGTCTACACACCCATACGTGTGTTCATCATCGATCGTGGACGTCCTATTGTCCCTCTTTTGTTTGTGCTCTAACTTTTTAGGAAGACTCCCATATAGGTTTTGTACACGACCCCAATCGCGGACATATGCTGGGATTCATGGACGATATAGTTCTCTGGTATATTTCGTCCACGGTTTGAATAGATGACACGTACTACTTTTGTTAGTAGCGCACACAACCAATGTTATTTTTTTTTTTTTTGCACAGCACTAACTTATAATTTCTTTTCGTGACAAAGCACTAACTTATAGTTTCTTTGCATGATAAATACTGCCTGAATGTGGGTGTACAAAGAAAACCCTGCTCCAGAGTCCTTCAATGAAAGAAATTTTCTTACATATTTTCTTTTTTAATGTCTTTTTCTTTTTAATTGTGAAGGCATATTTGGGCAGGAAGTCCATTAATGAGAAATAGAAAACCTAGGACTAAGAGAATATTATCATTTTGTTAAGCCAATATTATCATTTTGTTAAGCCAACCCACTATAAAGCACTAACTTATAGTTTCTTTGCATGATAAATACTGCCTGAATGTGGGTGTACAAAGAAAACCCTGCTCCAGAGTCCTTCAATGAAAGAAATTTTCTTACATATTTTCTTTTTTAATGTCTTTTTCTTTTTAATTGTGAAGGCATATTTGGGCAGGAAGTCCATTAATGAGAAATAGAAAACCTAGGACTAAGAGAATATTATCATTTTGTTAAGCCAACCCTTGTGAAGTCAAGCCTTTTTTGGCCAAACAAGTATTTCAGAAACTCAATTAAAAAAGTAATCAAAACTTTTCAGTACCTGAAGATGAAAATGAACAGCGAGAGAAGTGAGAAGAACGTTGCGACGTTGTCCATGGTCTTGAGCATGATCAGAAGCTGGCGTCGTAACGCTGGCATGAAACGCACCAACTTGAGGATTCGTAAGAGACGAAACGTTCGCAGGACTGACAGACCCCCACTGCCCTGTTGCATAATCTCAACCACGCTGTGAAAAATAAAAGTTGACATGCTTCAGTTTTCAATATGGCATTTGTGAATTGTATTTTTAAATGTGGAGATTTGATTGCTTTCTTTCAAAAATCCATATTTTGAGGGTCATTTTTAGAAATCAAGTTCTCACAAGTCATGATGAGGGGTCCTCCAGTCTCAAATCACATGCTATGAACTATGACTAAGACATTCCTTTGTCATTTTCTATCCCCTCTTACTCCTGTCCTTACTTGTGATCTACGTGTGACTGACTAGTGATCTACTTGTGACTGACTTGTGACAGACTTGTGACAGACTTGTGAATGACTTGTGACTGATTTTCACAGACTTGTTATTGGCCTGTAACTGACTTGTGACTGACTTATGATTGACTTGTGACTGACTTGTGATTAGCTTGTGACTGACTTGTGATTGCCTTGTGACTTACTTGTGATTGTCTTGTGACTGACTTGTGATTGTCTTGTGACTGACTTGTGATTGTCTTGTGACTGACTTGTGATTGTCTTGTGACTGACTTGTGATTGTCTTGTGACTGACTTGTGATTGTCTTGTGACTGACTTGTGATTGTCTTGTGACTGACTTGATTGACTTGTGATTGTCTTGTGACTGACTTGTGATTGTCTTGTGACTGACTTGATTGACTTGTGACTGACTTGTGATTGTCTTGTGATTGACTTGTGATTGACTTGTAATTGCATTGGGACTGACTTGATTGACTTGTGACTGACTTGTGATTGGCTTGTGACTGACTTGTGACAGACTTGTTTTGATTGGTGACAGATTTGTGATTGGCTTGTCACTTACTAGTCATTGACTTAAGACTGACTTATGATTGACTTGTGACTGGCTTGAGATTGCCTTGTGACTGACTTGACTACATCTTTGGTCACCTCAATAGTTTAATCATAAACAAAAAATTACATAAAATTAGAAGTATGATGTTGGGACAAAATACTGATATCTCACTTCGTGGAGCTTCTAAACACAAAAATGTAGCAAGCATAGAAAATACTTCCTCATCAAAAATAGGTTACCAGCCAAACAGGTCATGCGATTCATACTGCATGTGACTGGTTCCCGGCCTATTTCTGCTCATCGTGTAACTTTGCTAACCAACATTTCTTACTTAGAGGGAAATACTGCTAAGCGATAATTTCTGCTTAGAGGGACTAGCTGAGCCCGCTCCATACCTAACAATGACGATGATGCCATCAAAGACGTTGAACCCGTTCCTGATGTAACCAACCACGCCATAAGCCATGAGCTTCAGCAACATCTCCAAGGCAAAGAGACTGGTGAAGATACGGTTGCTGATCTCTAGAGCTTCTGTCAACTCGTCCGGCTGCAAAAGTACAAAGAAAATTCAACAGGAATGAATTAATTATAAGCCAGGAAGGTAAAATCGTATGCTGTTTGTCAAATATGTTTTACCATGAACATTGTCTCCTTGAGTGACAGGATTGTGCACATGTAACTTCATCTACCTGACTGGCTATTTTCCAAAACCTGGATCCGTTTTAGGTCCAATACATCTACCCGGCAATTTTTCAAACCATGGCTTTGACTCCAACTGCGGAATCATCTCAAACTTTGGTATATTGCAATGCAATGACTACTGCTGTAACCAAACAATTGGCAACTGCAAATATTGGAATAACGTACTTTGGTAAAAATGTAAGCTGAAGCTTTTGTATTTCTTTCAAATGGAAAATGTATCTTTTCTTTTGGTTCAAATGAAAATTACTGGCTAAACTGGGAATTTCTTCCTTAATTTTAATTTATGACAATGAGTTAATTTTTAATCATTATGTAAAATGTTGGTATCTTAATGGAACCACGGGAAAGCATCACCCATCATTAAAAATACACATTTCACATTATTTCCACAAATATTCACATTTAAATCTCCATCAAGTGCAGAGTTGATGGTGACAAAGCGCAGTGTTCTTTGTACAAACTCAAAGCTAAAATCTGCAAACCAATTTTTATGTCCAGACTCTAAAGGAATTCAACTCGTAGCAAGGAGGCTTCAGACTATAATTCATTCATTAAACATTAAACCTTCAACCAAATTATGTACAACAGACTTCATTTGTGATTCATTAAAATACTGCCTAAAGCTTTCTCAACCGAAAAGTTTAGACATTTTTGGTTATTAAAGAAAAAAATCTGTAGTTTAATCATCTGGCAGCAAAATAAATCGCTTCCGGCCGTAATTAGCTGTGTCTTATACAACCTGGTGATGAAAATCTTATACAAGTTCCTTCACTCAAATCTTATGCAGAACGAGTATGATCACAGAGCGCGCTACCTCGTCCCAGATCAAAGTGCCTACGCGGGATGCGCGGCTGTGCACAAAACAAACACACAGTCCGCAATAATGTGCTCCAATAAGCACAGGTAGGGGGTCAAGTAGGAGAGAAAACAAAACAGCTTGAGGGAAACGCGGCGGCCAAAGACCAACATGGCAGCGGATATGAGGAGTGTGTGGATAGCAACAGTATCCGGTCGTCTAGGATACGCAGTAATAATTGATGACTGGTTGCTAGGTAAGCATGTGTTGGTTTCCACGGTAAGAAATGAGAAAATAAAACATGAATATTAGTTGTTGTTGTTGTTTTTTTTAGATATATGCAATGTGGAAAAGTGCTTGCAACAAAACAGATTTATTTGGAGTAGAGGAAGTATTAGAATAAACACCTTAAAAGTTAAATTATTCTGTTTCTTTCTAGTCTGTTTTGGAGACTTTTTCGTAAAAACAAATTGATCAGCTATCAACAAAAATAATAGTTTTTCCTTGCCAATAACAACGATTGACCTATCGCCGTTTGCGAGTTAGCCACGCCCCTTAGACAACCCTATGGAATTGTGTACGTTGAGTTTTGTTTGTCTCAGATTTTGCGCGTTCTGCCTCCACTTGTATATCAAGTAATTGGACAATATTTCACAAGCTGCATTGACGCAATTCTACCGCAAAAGGTTAATTCTATGGGTATTGCATAAAAATGCATGGAATTTTCCTCTCTTTTTTTTGTTAAACAACATTATATAAACTGAGGTAGAACTCCAGGTTAAAAAGATATATATAACTTATATTTTAATGCGTAATTTTTTTTTTTTACCATCAAAAAAAAAAAACATGTGCAGCATGGGAATTTGTAGGCAATTAGTGTTCAAGATTGCATGAGCAAAATTGCCCACTCAATAGAGATATGGACAAGTAGGCTCTTAATATTACAGGGTCTGCTTGCTGATAATTACCACCTTGAAGGCAAAATATGATGAGTCTTGTCCTCGCGGGAAAGAATTGTAATGCTTTGACGTCTGTAAACATGTAAATGGCGAGGTCGCTAAGCCCTACAGGGCTGTTTGCAATGAAATGAAAAACATTTTTTTAGAAGAAATGTGTAGGATAGGATCGGTGCAAAAACATGTGATAAATTATTTAATGACATGCTTTCATTAAGAGCAGGTCCATACATAGCGCAAAAAGCAAACTCAATTTTTTGTGATGTTACAAAAAGCAATCATACTGCAAATTTGCAAATGTTTGAACTTCGGCAAATTTTGCTGCCAAATGCTCTGAGATATCAAATTTGTATCGAATTCGCATTTGTCTGTGTAGCCATTCTAAAAGCCAATTGAATCTCAATCAAATTCACAGTCTTTATACTTTCTATTCACAGAGAAACGAAGTGCACCCTCCAATAAGTTTTTCTGCACGCACACATTATTATGGGGAAGTGCCGTTTCAATCTACATGTACATGGTTATTCACTTAATCAATACGCATCAAGTGTTCCCCCCTCCCCCCCCCCCCCCACACTCGGAAGTGCTCATACTATTTTGCTGAGTTTTCTGATCATTTTCTGAGTAGCACTGCTATTGGATGGGAAGCATGTTTGTTCATGACAAATTAAAAAATGTCCTGTCTACATTTCAAATTTTTTCTGATGCAGTAGTATTAGTAGTATTTAAAAACAGAATTTTAACATTTTAAAATCCTTTTCTCCACCAGTATTCTTTTTCTTTTCAAAACAACTTCAGCAAAATACTCAATTAATTGTTGAAGAACCAGGTACCAGTTTTTTTGAAATTATTCTGCTCATCAAATGTCTGAGAAATGAAAAGGTAAAGCTAAATTACTTTTAAGAAAAAAAGATACTACGAAGGCCAAGTTCGCGCAAGGACTATAGTTGACCAATGGTTAACTAACGTTTGCCCGAACTCTGTCTAGTCGACGGTGGTTGACTACGCTAGTCGACTATTTGGAACCAGCCTTCTGGGGTTGGCTGCTTCGCTGGTAACCAATAGCCGGGCGCATTCATAACGCTAGCAGAGATCCAGGATCCAGAAGTTTTGCGATGACATTTTGACCAGCGTTTGACTAGAGACGTTCGCATGTTGCTATCAGTGCGCAGGCGTAAGGTACGTCACAAATCAACCACTAGTCGACTAATGGTCCTTGCCCGAACTTGGCCTAGATTGCTCTTACCTGATTGTGAAACTCCACGCCCATGCTGAGAGTGTTGATCAGAATACAGATGAGGATACTTCGCATGAAGTACTTGCTCTCCACAATCTCCCCGATCTTATTGGACACCTTGCGGTAGAAGGCTTTGCAACCCGACTTATCAAGATCATAGTCTCCTTTCTGCTCCTCCTCATAGTCTGAATCCTCCGCATCCGAGTCGTCTTCGTTTTCAGAGTCGGAATCGGTCCAGTCGTAATCGTTGTGGCCGTCAGGGCAGGAATGAGGGCAGGTCCGGGAACTGCGGGAGGGGCAGGGGGAATGGGAGGGACATGGAGTCGACGGACGGCAGGGGGTGTGGACCGGGCAAGGCTGATGGACAGGACAGCCTGCAGAGTGGATGGAAAGACACGGCGAGGGAGGGGCAAGATGGGCGTGGCCTATTGGGTAAGGGGAAGGGGGATGGGTGAGGGGCGGAGCCGACAGACGCTGCCCTAACGGGGGGTGTGCACCTGCGGGAGTGAGGCCATCTCCTGCAGTGAAAAGAATACACCAACCATGAACTGAAGAAGTACAACAGCAATCACAAGTAAAAACTGAGGACTCTTACAAAAAAATGACAAAGAGTAGTACCCTTTCAATAAATAAACTCATCAACCAGATCATTGACACTAGAATTGAAAAGAAACTTGAACATCCAAAATTCAAAGTGCAGGAACAGAGTTTGCATTCAATCTGTAATTTGTGCACAAAGGGTTAAGGTAGATGCAAAAGTAAATGAACTAAAACTCTAAACAGCCCATTGGTCTCATGCAGTCACTGATCAGGTTACAACAGAAGGGATTTCCGTAAATCAGCTTACGCGCCAGGAAGTTTTTAAGCTTTCAAACAATTCTAAACAGTACTTTTCTAAGAAGGTATTGGTTGCAACTAAGATCTTTGGACACTAGAAATGAAAAGTTTTTAACTAATCGAACATCCAAACATCTGTCAGCTTGATTTGGAACTGAATATTGGTTGTTTACAAATGTTTTTTTCCAAAAAAAAAAGGTTTCTTAAAATGTTACTTTTTTTCTTCATTTTTGTTTTTGGCATGACTTACCACTGAAAATATTGCCGGTCCTGACTGGGGGTAGTTTACTGTATTTATTCAGGGTGTCGCCCAGACATAGATCCTTCCAGCGTTCTTGGAGCTTATTAGGAGGCACGTCTGTCATGCTATTCAGTGCTGTCTCAGCAGTCAATTTGGCCAAGGCGGAATTTGGCCGAGTATCCTTAGAATTTGTGGTGGGATAATTGATGGAGGATGCCCGATGTATAGAGAGGGTAGTCACTACGTGGTGGTGGGGGGATTGCTTACAACGTGACCGGCTGGGTAAGGGTTCTAATCGCGAGAGATTCTCAGTGCAATAGGTGATAGAGTGAAGCGAATCTACGCTGGGTCCTAAGCTACCATTGGCGGCGGGCACCACAAGTCTGCTCTGCCGGGTGGGCGAGGAGCCAATATCACTGTTTTCGGGACTGGCCCGGGGCGCTTGCGGGCTGTTGTTCCCAAAATGATAATGGTGGTGGTGATGGTGGTGGTGACAGTGCACATGCACGGATTTCGTCCGGTGCTTTTTGCGGCGTAACGAAATGGCGGGCATCACTTTACGTTGTCGCTTCCCGCGGATACCTTTATGCCAGCGTCGGACTTTTCTTTTGGCCTGTCGCACCAGGTGTCCGATGTATTTCAGGATTTCGTCGTAGCAGCTGCCCGGTTCACCGTTGCTGGCCAGCGTGCTGGTGGAACGAAACCGTTTACGCTGCTCCGCCATCAACTTGCTCTCTCTTTGCTTTGTCTCAGAAAATTGAGTTGCTATGACTACTAGACACAAATTTATCAGGAAGAAGGCACCGATCTGCAAACAAAGAATGGGTTGTATTCGTTATCAACTTGTTCATATCATATTTTGTCAAATCATATTTTGTCAAAGTACACACAAATGAAACATGCGAATAATTTTGATATCTCTGGACAGATTCGAAATGATTTATGAAATAATTACAAAACAGGAATATCATAAATGGCAAATGATATCTTGATTCTTAATTGGCCACAAAAGTAAAGATGCTTAAAATTCTTGTCATCAAAAATCTACATGTGATTCAAATTCACTGATTCTAGATGGAAGTATCAGATACTCTTGTCTTTTCTAACAAATAATGTGCAGTGCTTAAAACCATTTCACAAATTGTTAAAGATACAAGTCAGTAAGCAAAAAGGTTGGAGAATTAGTAAAGGAAAAGATTTGGAAAGGATGCCAGGAAAATGAAAAAGTGAAAGACAATTAAGTGAATGAGAAATATCGTGAGTTACACTGAGTGCTTAATGCATGCATTATAGGTAAGTCACAATAGATCAGGTGACAGAGATCCCATGGCTTGTGTCCCTGAGCAGCACGCTTTACCATAACTTTGCAGTCACCCATGACAAATTGATACAGTTAACGGAAAAGGGTGCTACATTTCAATTCGTGCAAAGGTGCCATGTCTAAACATTACTTCGCAGCCTATTTCTCAAACCAGTGAGTAACTTACATCACACGCTGAATATATGCCAGGAATTTGTTGTGCAACCGGGAAATGAACCTACGATCAATTTCACAAACTTGGCGCAGCTGTGCAACGCTTAAGTAATTTAAAAAGAAAAAATACTGCACAAGGATGGTCACAGCTTTTCCAACAGCTAATTGTGTAAGAGTCAAATGTCCTTGAAGTAGCTGTGCCTCCCACTTTTGAGAACGTTTTTTCTTTTGGAAATCGGAAGCAATGTTTGAAATTTTGTTATGGGTAAACAGCAGCACATGATTAGAGCAGATAGAAAAAGGATCTTTAAACTTAACTACAAATTAAATTGAAAAGTCATAGCAGGCCCATCTACTTTAGCTTTTGAATGACACGTTCTAAGTAGTTAGAGCAGTTGCCTTTCAAGACAGTGTCGTGCAAGTCCCAACGGCATCTTCAACTTGATTAGTGAGTTGTAATTGTGCTACACAAGGGAAAAGGAAAGTGTGAAAATGTGAATGTGCACAACGTGTCCGGCTGTTAATAAAGATGAACGGGAAAGGTGGATGTGTGATATACAACAGTTGAAGAGAAGATCATACCGTGAGGCTAGCCTGGGTTCAAGACGCTAATGATCAATAATAGATTGAGGTGTGCAAAAGCCATACTGTGTAATCCCTGGAAGTACGCCCTCACATGATGTGTTTTTATCCCTTTCGCAAACGTTTATAATAGGGTGGGCAAAACTGGTCAACTGACCGGTTCACTATTACTCTGTAGAAATCCATTATCGATCACTAACGTCTTCAACAAAAAAATTGGGTGAGACGAATCTTGGGAATAGGGAATTTTCTTTCAACCCAAGTGTGCACAAAGGTTCCCTTGAAGTCGTACTAATGGGGTAACTTATTCTTTGATAACATTGTTTTATAGGGTGTATACTTTTAAATGTTAATTCCTGAAAGCCTTTATTGGAACAACTTTTTGTACATGAGCGAAAAATGTTACTTTTTTACCCTACATTCTCCATTATTCACATGATGTACACATGAGCAGATGTACCACTTCCTAGCCACGGTACTTTTACCATAATATTCAACAGTATCAAAAATAAATTCTTTACAAATTTTTAATAAAATAATTTCCCATGAGGCCTGTACTTACGAGATTGACCTCAACAAGAATAGAAAAATTATATGTTATAAAAATAACCCAAGTGAGCTTTGTGATGCAAAAATCTCTAAGACTAGTAAAAGTATGACTACAACTATATTAACCACTAAATATTTCTCCAAAACTTAAACTGATGCACTACAAAAAAAACTATCAATGAGTATATTCAAGTTTTCACAATGTACACAGTTTGATGGAAGGGATAGATGTGAAAGTGAAAAATGGTAAAGATACAATGGATTGCTCTAAATGTATGGTGAGAAAAAGCATTGGGCACAAAATGTGATTTTGAAGAAGTTTTACAAGCAAGAAAAGGCGCAAATAAAGAAGAAACGTTGAAAAAAGTTGAAGAAGCGGAAGAAGCCCAAATAGATGATGGTTGATATATACTTACTACAATGAGTACGACAAAATACGCCCAATTCCAAAAACTATGCACATCTTGGATATAGTACATGATATCTGTCCAGCCTTCTAAGGTGATGACCTGGCCGGCATTTACGGTATCCCGAGGGAAAGAGGGTGGTATCAGAAGGAATGTGAACAAAATACAAAAAAATAAAGACCATGATGTACGGTTAAGAGAACTGACAAAAAAAAATGAGCTAAAGACAAACATGCGTCACAATGGTGGGTCTTATGTGATCGCCGGCGTTACCCCCGACCGACCAGCCAAGACACCGATTTCCCTGGTACACACATATGAAAACTCATGCAAGCCGAGTACCAGTATTATTCTTGACGGGGATCTGGTTTGAGGCATGCATGAGATGTCGAGAGTGGAAGGAGGGAAACGGAAGGGGGTCGGCATTCCAAACGGGGAAAAGTGTCAATCTACTTACAACAATCAACAACATAAAATAGATCCACACCCAAGGGGAGTGAGCGTCTTGGAGGTAATACTGTATTTCAACCCAGCTTTCTAAAGTGATAACCTGGCAGGAGTGAGAGAAGTAGATAGCTTGATACACAACACAAAAAGGAGGCATACTGGACGGACAAACAAAGACCAACAAATCAACCAATAAACAAACAAACAAACAAACGAACAGATGGGAACATGACAGAGTTTAAATCAAGTCATCACATGTCATTCACTAGTCAATCACAAGTCATCACAAGTCAATTACTAGATGTCACATGACAATCATAAGCCATCACAAGTCATCAGAAGTTAACCACAAGTCAGTCACAGTCAATCATTACTCAATTAAAAGTCATCACAAGTCAATCATAAGTCATCACAAGTCATCACAAGCCAATCGCAAGTCGTCACAAGTCATCAGAAGTTAATCACAAGTCAGTTACAAGTCAGTCACAAGTCAATCATAACTCAATTAAAAGTCATCACAAGTCAATCATAAGTCATCACAAGTCAGTCACAAATTGTCACAAGTCAATCACAAGTCATCCGGTCTCAAGACATTGACATGCTTTTCAAATGACAGTGACAATGTCCATCCTTTGTCCTTGTCCATCCCCTGTTGTTTGTGACCTCATCTTGTGATGTGACCTGGGATTTACTTGTGACTGATTGGTGATTGGCTTAATGGACTGACTTGATTAAAACTTGAACAGGAATAAGTAACACTGACAATAAAGGATGAACAAACAAAAAATATGACAAGAAACAAAGAAAGACAAAACTAACAGGCACAGCTTCTCATAATTTCATGTGCATAAAGAAACATTTTGTTTTTGAATGCTTGTTATGAAATAAAAAAGCAGATTTTCAACTGTTTGGACTGTGTTTTGACTACTATAAGAGCACAAGCAAGCGCGTTCAATAAGCATGCTCCCCTAAAAGCAAAACTTTTTCAACATAATCCACCCTTTCTTTCTAGATTTGTTTTATTTTTGATGATGAGGCACCACACACCTAGAATACATTACACATAACAAAGACAGACTGCCAAAGTTGGACTCGGACAGAAAACATGGCTATAAAAATTAAGGTAACTCACGAAAGACCAACAAAAAAGTTCAAAGTACAAAATTAAAGAAAAGCAAACATATTCTAGTTTAAAGGTTAAAAATGCATTAACAAAACAAAAATGTCAATATTGGGTTTTTCCCTTCACCAACGTATGTTATAAACACTGTATACTCAGTGTTGCCCCAAAAATGACGTAAATGGCTAAATTTTAATAGCTATAGGCATACCGTGAATTGTTTTTTTTTTTTTTTTGGTGTTCATCAATTTTTTGTAGAATTGAAATCAGGGAAGCAAAGCGAGAGTTGATATGAATACATTTTTGAAAGGATTTTTGAAACAATGATGTTTTGAATGATTCAATCTTATTCACTTGTAAAATGGCGTGAGTATGGAAAAGTATTGTTCACAAAGACAGGGTCTGAACTGAAAACATTCCGGGGAAAATTCACTGAATAATGGGCAAAAAAGGAGAAAAGATTGGCTAATTTTGACAAGGGGTCAATGGGACTGATAAAAATGTTCTGAAAATGCAAAGAAATAGAAATACATATTCCTGTAAAAAAAACATTCAAGATTGAAATCTTAAAAGGTTTGATATCAGTAGCATTCTCCGCGTCAGTGAACATTTTGTCAGCGTCAATTCGAATTTGTCAGTTTAAGTATAAGTCGTGACTTTTGTCCAGAATTGCAGCAATTATTTGCATTAATATTGGTTTAGGTCTTCACCGACGAAATGTTATATGCAATGTTTATTCAGCGCCATCTGAAAAGCTTGCACGAAAAAAATTAACAAGCTTATTTTCATCCAGAGATGATCATAACTCAATCAATAGTTATACAAGTCAATTGACATTTGCCAAATTCTTCTAAAGTGGATTAACAAAAATCTTTCTTGTATCAATTTGCATTATTCGGACAAAATGCAATTAATGTATCTTATCTTTTCCGAGAGCTGATTGAATGCAAAATGGCTTTTATGCAGTTTCATTGAAAAGGCTTTCATAAGGACAACTGGCTCACAGATGTTTTTTCGCTTTGCTGTCATCACAATCATAATTCTATCATTAACATAATTGATTATAGCTTTAGTACGAACAGATGAAAGCCTTTTTTTTCTGGCAGTGGGAAAATTGAGCTTCACCAGATGTACGCTATCTAGCTACTGATTGGCTTCGATCAGTCAGTTGTTAAGTTCATGACCACGGTTAACGATTCCTGAGAAGAAAAAAAAAAGCTGTGAGGCCCAGTTGTCCTTGGAATGGAATAATTACCCGAATGTGTTTAATTTTGCACTCACCGCCAGTTCTACATCTCCTGACCAAAACGAAACACCTGGTTTCGCCTTCACGTAAACAGTCAGTCCAGTTGTGCGTGCTTTACTTGAAATCAAATTATCATAACTTCGTGCCTTTCGAATCCTTTCACATGCTGTACAATTTGCACAGGTTTAAATTGAATGTCGCTTTCAATGTCAAGTGGTTAACATAACTAAACAGGATGGGCTACATTATTTAGGTTCACGGTAATCGAGCTTTACGTAAGTGCTTTTCTGGTCAAATGACGATGTTAAATTCTTCATAACGGCTATTAGAAAAATTGTCGCTGACACCACTTTTTAACACTCTATGAAGTGCTATACTTCTGAATTTTGTAGACCTTGTTAGTTTGTCATGTTGGGGTCAAAATATAAGTTAATGTTGCCATTTTGGGCACGAAGTTTGTTTGTTTTCTTGCAAAATGCATTTCATACCAAAATCTTCAGTTGATATTTTCTGAGGCTAACCAAGAGACACAAACTGACCAGTGCGTCTACCAACTATGTCCCATAATTCCTTTAAGAAAATAATATGTGAGTGATTAAGCGAAAATATTATGCATTTGTAAAAAGGATAAACTGAGTCTAGGCTCAAAAGGATCCTGCAGTTACAAAAGTACAAAGGTTTTTGATATTTGCATCATTAGTCTTACCACGGACTTTGCGCACTCATGCGGCGTGCATAATTTCACATACTCAGCGCATGGAATTGATTATCCACAAGAAAAGACATTATATGGTCTCCATGACAACCATCTGATCGCCAAGTGCCATTCAACGTAATCCTTCTCATGAATTTCCAATCATGTCCGTGCATACGGCAGAATTAGGTGTAATGTCAGGCGCTATTTTGTAAGCCTGTCTTCACATCACTGTATTATGTGACGTCGAAATAGCAACGTTGTGGTACTGTCGGAATCCAGGGGCCAATTTGTTTTAAATTGTACAGCAAAGAAGTTAACTTATATTAAGTTTAATCTCTCAAGAATTTTGTTTATAGTGTTTATGCATGTGCACAAGGACATTATTGTGGGGAAGTGTGGCCTAGCAGTTAGGGTATGTGACTCCTGATCAGAGGGTCAGGGGTTCGAATCCAGCTGCTGGTCATATGTTGTGTCCTTGGGCAAGCCACGTCACCCCCACTTGCCTCTCTCCACCCAGGACTATAAATGTGTACTGGCATTAGCTGGGGAGTAACCTGCGATGGACTGGCATCCCATCCAGGGGAAGTAGAAATATTCTCAGTCGTTTCATGCTACTGAAACCGGAGACAAACACCGGCCTGATGGGCCACATAGGCTCGGGACAGACTTTACTTTTTCTTTTTACAAGGACAATACAACTGGACTGACTGTTATTGTTTTGAAATCTTAGAACTTTCAACTGAGTACTTTCTGAAATTAACACTTGGCAAGATTTACTTGGGTGGGATGCGAACCCACAACCTCCTGCTCACTAGTGCAGATGTCTGACCACTGATCTTGCTAGTGTCAGCAGGACGGTTCTGATCAAAAGATCAGATCAGTGACCTTTGATAGAATTTTCACAGAATCTGTTGATGTGTATTTTACACACGACTTCAATTTGATTTGTCTGTCATGTCTGTTGTGACTGTCGCTTTAAAATTAACATCAAATTGACAACATGCCAATTTGGCTATTTTTGAAACCTTGGTTCTGTTTGCAGTTCGGCTCCATTTCATAAGAATCACTAACAAAATAATAACATGCCAGACTTTGGTAGCAGAAAATCAATGCATTTTGTGCCAGGTTTCCCATAGTCAGGGGTTTGAGATCACAACTGAAGCCAGGAGCCAAAGCTAGATACAAAACCCAGCTTTCAGAAATGGCCTTTGTCTTCAGTTTAAGTTAAAATCTGAAATATGGATAAACTCACCTGGAAAATGGCGACCCATGCATACAGTATATTATCAAAAGAAATGGACCCGAGATATGGATTGTTCTCGCTAGTTTGACACACGGAATAGTACTGGTTCCAATCCACACACTCCGTCAAATTGCTGTTGTATGAATTGTTTGTGTAGAGGGAGGCGGACGCGTTGCAGACTTGTTCTCCTACAAGAAATTTCTCTTTATGGTCAGAATCGCAGTGTAGGTCCCCTGCGTCTGATTTAAAACTGCATACGTGGTCCAGGTATATGTCTGGCAATGTGTAGTACGATGGCACGTCGTACCTGTGAACAGATTTATAACATAAAAGAGGTGAGGAATTGGCATTGAACAAATAAGTGATATACACATTTTTTTTAGATAATGACTGTCAAAATCATAAACCAAGTTTTTGGATTTTAGACACTCTGTGGTACGATCTCAGGCAATTTCTGACCACTTTAACCAATTGTTTGGAGCAAAAGATCCCAATTTAAATACCATTTTCGAGTTAAGAGTCAATTATTTATATATATATACATATATTTTAGCGTGAGAAATCCCGAGAGGGCGTGAGAGCATGAGAATAACCTGAAATGCGTGAGTTTCACGCTCAATTTGTGACAGTTGGCAGACCTGCACTTTGTGACCACTCGTGAGAAGTCCGTTGGAAGGAAACATTGAGTATGCACACTGGTTTGAGCCTAAATGGCGTGATGTACGCACATTAAATGTATTCTAGATCAGCACAATTGTATTTGCGTGAGCACCAGGCAAACAGCGGCAATGTGTTCCAGTCCTGTATAACTCTCTCTATATAACCAAGTGAGTGCGGCCGTGCACACCGATTTCAAACTAAAAGTAGCAGGTTTCTAAAAAAAAAGGTTTCTAAAAGTAGCAGTAAATGAATTCACAAGTAAACGTGGGTGGGAATCGAACCCATGACCACCTGACTACAGTGCTAGAGTGTGACCGATCTTACCCTGCTCCTACAGAGGCATTGTCAGGCAGGTCTAGAAAACACCTGTTTCTGAGCAGACCCTTCCACAGCTGCACCCCGATGATCCCAAAGATGAAGAAGACAAAGAAACACAACATGAGCACATTCCCCAACATGGGTAATGTGTCCAGCAGGAGCATGACTAAGATGCGTAGACCTAGAAACGAAAGAAAACATAACAAAGTTCAAGACTTCAAATTACATTCAAGTTAATGAAAAGTTTCCAGTAAGAATGATGATACGTGAAGCAATGCTCTGAAGCGTGGGTTGGAACTTATTTCAAACTTTAACCCTAACCCTGGAAGATTTTTCAAAATCCAACAGGTTTGGAAGGACTCTGTAGGATTGAGGGAGGAAGATTCCAGAACAAAATTGACACAAAAAGTGTTTCGATAAAGTAAACTAGTTTTAATAGCAAAATTTGAGTTGTCACATGTAGAGTGTTTAATTCTTTCACTAATCTAGAATGCACTTATGCATAGCACAGAATTTGACTGTAAACATCTGGTGTGGCTTTGACAAATCAAGTATATTGTTACAAACTTTCCAACGCCCAACTTAAATTTCATCATCTAAAATTCCAATTACGTATCAAGTTAAGCAAATAAGCCATTGAATTCCTGTACATTGTAGACAATATGGAGGATTCACGGAGGCTTTTAGAAATAATGCCTTGAAATTTAGAAAGTAGAAAGAAACTATTCTTCCACACTCACTTGGAATTCTATTGATGGCTCTTAACGGTCGGAGAACTCGAATCGTACGTATAGCTGTAAGATTCATGTTTTCTAACTGTAGCGAATATTCCAAAGCCCTGTAAACAAACACATCAATCAACTTTCTAGTTAGCATGAAACAAAAATGACGTTTGTTAGTCTCTAGGTAGTAATACATGTATGTACAAGCTACTGCATATGAATCATTTATCGTGACTTAAATTTTAACATTTTTACATTATGAATGTGCATACATGGACGTTAGTTGAATTAATAATGTGTTTTGTACATGAAAATTGCACACTACTGAATCAAATCAATAAGAGATAAAATACATAAACATATATCTAAATGATGTCAGCATACATGTACATACACTCTGCTTCAACACAATAACGGGAGAGGTTTAAACTAAAAACAAGGCACGTTGGTATCAAGTCAGGACGAACATTTCTGGAGGTTGGCGCTTACTCCATGTTGAGGCTAACCATTTGAGGAAAATACCCTCATTTCTGATGGATTACCATTCAATTTATACCTTTAAAAAAAACGAAGTGGAGTTCCAGACATAGTAACACATGAATGCTGCACTTATGAGATGCCTACATGTATACCTTTAAATGAGGCACGCTGTCTAGAGATCTAGACATAGTAACACATGAATGCTGCGCTCAATGGTCTTGTACATGTATGTTCACGAAGCATTTGCTCATTACATTGTGCATCGTCTTGTAAGGTACTTATTAATGTCAATGTTTAAACACTGTGTAGCAGAAGAAGCCGAACGGACGTGCAAAGCACAGAAAAACGTTGTTTATGCAGCACCTAATGGTAACTTTGTCTGAAATTCCAAGGTCTTGCTAATTGCAGCACTACGGCAGCATCTTAGATACGACAGTACCCAGATGCATGATGGTCTACATGACGCTGTGATCTGTAAAAATTACTAAATCCACATACATATATATTACTCATGAGTATAATAAAAACTTATTTTCTATTTGAAAAAAAAGTTAATAATCTTAAAAATAAACATGTTGTTATTCCCGGTACCACATTTGTGGATTAGTCTACACGCAATGCCAGTGAGAAAGCTCCTCTATATGTGGTGCGGAAAAGAAATTCAGGCTAGCCTCGTTGGATATAAGCCCCAACCCTCAGATATATGAACAAAAATGATGCTTGCTGTACAACCAAAGATGGCAAAAATTTTCAGAAGAAAAAAAAAATCAAATAATTATCAAATCACAGACATATAAAATGAACAAGAAAGAACCGTCTCTTTTTTTTGGTATCGACTGAAGTCCTATTCGATCTCCCAAACTTTTTGGTTCCATTTTGGGGATACGAAGGTTTTGTTCAAGCGAGACACTCAGGGTTTTTTTTTTTTTTTTTTTATCCTACTTTGGATTATTATTTTTTGCTCACCACATAGAATGATGCATTTCTCACTGGCTTCACAGAAGATTTGGTAGTGACTTTGAAAAATCTGATTGTTACTGGTTTATATCAGTTTTAAAATGATACATAGTTAGAAAAAGAAAAAAAAGATTGGCGGCCAGAAATGAGAGAAGAGGTAACATGGATGACAGGGTAGAAGAAGAAAAAAATTACGAGGTTCATGAAGAGATTAAAAACCCAGGGACTTCATGTACCTTAAAAGAGAAAGGTCCTTCTGTGTCCATTTTTATGAAATAAGATTTTATTTTTTTCAAAGACAGCACAGTCATTATCATCAGCCAAATTTTGTTTTCACCTCTGTGACGTAACAGTTTAATGAAAGTATTTCAAATGTCATATCCCATTCTTTGTTTGGCAGTCTTTATACAAAACCTGACACATCTATCACATTTTTCCCCCGACATTTCGTTCAACTATTTTAATTTCCCAAGGTTTTAGAATGCTTCTGAAATTTCCAAACACGTTTGAAAACAAGGCATGGTAAAGGGTTCAGTCAAGTGAAGCAGTATTTCCCTTACCATAAATGTTTGCAAAAACTTGAATATGTCAAAACCTGTTTCAAAATCCGAATCAGTATGCAAGGTAAATTGAATTGAAAGTGCAGAGCAGGTTTTGTTAGTGAGTAACCATTTGCAGTTACAAATTGACAGAAAATAGGTTCTGTCCACTTTTGATTTAATATCTTTCTTTTTTTTGGTTTAAAAACAAAAACTGCAGCTAAATTTAGTTGAACTCAAGTTATAGCCTTTACCCTGATTCAAATGTTGAACAAGTATTGGCAAAAATAGGGAAAAACTGCTAATGTCATGCTACTTACTGCCCCCTCTACCACATTTGTTTGAAGACTTTTTTTCCAAAAGAGAGATTCCTCCTAGTATGTACAATTTGATTTAGCAACAGAGGACAAAAGAAATTTGGCTGATGATGATGACTTGGTTACGATGTCTGGTATGGTGAGCGTGATCATGGACACATTACGAATGCATCATACAGATGTTACCATGGAGACAATGTCAATGCAGTGAGGGGAGGTGATTTGACAAGAGTTTGTGCAAAACGTGAGCCTTAGGATGAGCCAAGTATCATGAATGCGACAGATCAGTGCAACATACGGTATGTCAAACATGCTGGGCAGTGGGCACCATAAATATATCACATGTACATGTTATAAAATCAGTCCATTTCCAAGTTAGACAGGCATACTCAAATATAACGTAATACGATAACAATTAAGCTTGAGAACCAGAAAGTGTGGTCTGAATGTTTGGGTTTTTGATAATAGGTAAAATCTGCTGACATATTTGTGGCATGTTCTGTGTCTAATAACTCATAGATCCTACTCATTCAAATACCTCGATTTTATTCGTATCTTATATTTCACTGTACTAAAAGACTTGGAAAAGGAGTCAAGTTACAACACTTGTACCAGAACCGCTGCAGTAATAATCAGAGACACATGTGCTGGCGTGTCAATTTCTTATCTGCTTTTCAAATAAAAACTTTTTGAGAAATGACTTTCGGTGGACGGTTGCATCAGGGAGTATTGGAGCTTTGCGTTTCACTGACTGTAACTCATGTTGCGTGCTCATGTATCAAATCTGACATATGTAAACGGAAACGCAATCATGCCGCATGCCAATGTTATTACCGACCTGAATGCATGCCAACGTTATTACGGATTAAGCCACGCATGACACAAGGACAGCACGATGTACCGGTAGGCCTAAAGAATCTCTCTACTTCTGTTTCATGTTCATGACGTGAAGGCAACACAAACATTAATCACTTAAGGAAGAAAAAAGTGTTACATTCTGAACAGTGTCCTATGTCTTGTCTTGCTGAAAGGAATTGTTAAAAGAAATTTTAGGCAGAGATATTGCTTTCTTTCAACATGTGCTCTATTATAAAACAGACGCTAGTCAGATTTAGGCATGCATGTTTCCACAATAAGTTGAGATACAAACTTTGTTATGATGTCAAATTCGATTGCTTTTATCGGTTCATAATTGTAGGCATAGAGAGCCATTGTCCAATCCAACGGGGATTAATTCGGATCATGGGGCTTGTGTTCTTGGGCAAGACACTTTACTACAATTTCCTCTCTCCGCCCAGGAGTATAAATGTATTTCATAAAAAAAAAAATTTAGTGAAAAAAATAGAATAAGATCTGTCTTAAACATGTTCGCGTTAATCAAGTTTGTGTATGGCAGGTTTCTTTTAAACCACAGGTGTTTAAAATGCAGAAATCTTGGACTTTGATCATCACGATCAAACAGTTTGTAATCTAATGTGCCTTCAAATGCTGCACGCTTGCATTGTTTGCGATGGACGTGTTCAAAGTAGGCCAACAGGAAGTAATACTAATAAGAAGAGTTCCATTATCTTTGTAGACAATCACACTGATAATAAACTTGGAAGATGAGATGAATTTGCATTTTCAATGGTTTGCATACGTTCAGGAAATTTTTTATACATGTCCAAACAGTTGATGTATACTTGAAACTATTTAGTGTTAATTTTGTGTCCAATTAACATACATTTTTAAAACAATCTTTTTTTTATAAGGTTGTTAAGAAGGTTACAAATTTGATGGAATTTTCTGTGGAGATTTGCGGGGTTTCCAACGTGCTAGTTTGTGTAAGAGATCATGAGTTTTCATTAGCAGGCATTTGATTGTTTTACTTTGGCTTACCTTAAATTTTTTGTATCAATCAATGTCAATAGGTACACTAAACTATGTAAGTCTAATGTTATAATATTTAGTGCATTAGAATTTAGGGTTTAATCATATTATTATGTGTAAACATACATTAAGTCGACATTACGCATAAAGGTAAAGCCTATTTAGGTACATGTAGGCAGTACATGTATGTTTGATGACAGAAGTCAGATGACAGAGGCCCGCTCAATTAAATTTTCTGCTGTCCAGCACTATGATCCGACACGGCCATATTTCTTTTGCAAGGCATGTTATCGGATTAATCAGATTGCGAGAGAACACTGTTGCCATGGGAACAGCCACCATCCATGCAGATGCAATATTAATGGCATTGGTCACATACAATGCAGGAGGCTGACAGTGGGGAAACCGAGTGAAATCAGACAAATAACCAAATGGCTGAAAAGTATAAGCGGAGAGTACGATATTTGATATTCTTTTTTATTTCATCGAACACTTGCTTTTGTTGGGGGGGGGGAGAAATCAAAATTAAAATATATCTTTCTTCAAGCCAACTTCAATTTAAAATCATCCATTTGGTACTTTCCACTGGAATATAGTTTCTATATAATTCTTAAAAATAATAAGAAACTGAATTAAAGAAGGACTTTCTTTAAACGAAATGTAAAAGACAAAATGTTAAAGCATTGCTTTTAACATTTATTTTAAGGTTACGGGCTTACAGCATGCATGCAAAGCATCTGTGAGATTTGTGCATGGGCTGGTGACATGGAAAGATGGGGTCCTTGGTTGTTTTTTTTTCGTTCAGGAACACAGGCAAAACTTGCACACGCCTCAAGTCATATCATGCTGATAGAACATCAGTCAAAAGAGTGGCTCAACATGCTTCACATGTCCCACACACAATGTTGCAATCATCACACTATAATAACATACACAGTAATGGTGCCCATAATGCGATCTCCGAAGAAAAAAAAACAGTGTATAAGAAGATGACCAATGTGACTTGCATTCTGACAACACATGATGAGTGAGTGCTGGATATGAGTTTTGTGATTACATGTATGAACGGAAAAAAATTGGATATCCGAATAAGTTCTAACAATTCCTACATTATGATCTCCAGTGATCCCAAGTTTGACAGTATGCAGACTTTTTTATGGAAAGACCAGAAATGGCAGTGAAGGAACATGTTGCATTGCATTGTGGGGACATTTCCGTTAATGTATTGGAATTTCGTTTACTGTGAATTGCCCCTACGTGCAGCGCTACTTGAACCTTCACCACACATTTTTAGTCTGATGGCTATCCATATAAAGGTCTACAAAATGCATTCACCATTGAGTTCTGTCATTCGTTACCCATTCAAACCCATCCTCATAAAAGAGAAAGGAAATCTCGGCAAAAAAATATTTGAATATTCATGCGCTATCGGACATATCAGTGAAAAGCGGATCTCGCGTGAGACCCACTTGGGCAGATCCTTCATGGGATAAGATATGGCATACTTTTCAAAAGGCCACGGGGAAAATATTTGACCGACTGACACTCCTTTTTCTACTGTCGTTGGAGTGTCGTTTTGAGACTTGTAAGGAAAGCTCGAGAGGATGGGTTTACGGAACGAACAACTCAACGGGGGTCACTGGAGAGTCATTTTAATCATGCTCCTTGCAGGCCAGACCTCATCAAGTCTAAAGTCGGTCGCATACATCAGTGTTACTCTCGGTGTTAAATTTCTTTAATCCTACGGACGTTAAAGGGACACACCCCACACGCACGTATGCAACACCGTTCTGCTGACTGAAATTTCAAGTTTACGCTTATGACCACAGAAATCTCTGCCGCGGCACTCTAGCCTTTTTTCGTTCCAATAACAAACACTCGGGACTGCGTTTGTAGAATTTCAATGCATGTTTGCCGCACGCTGACTTTGAAGTGCTTACAGCCGCCTGTGCATTTTTAAGCAGTGAAACTCAACACACCGGCCGTGTCAGACAGATATGTTGCATACGTGCACGTCTGTGCCGCCCCAAGATGGCTGACTCAAGGTGCACATGTAAATGACAGCTATGTTAAATTACTGTTTTGAACATCAAAAAAATGGACACAGGTAAAACTTACTCCATGGTATATTCTGTAAGTCTTTTTTTTCACCAAATGGCAGGGGAAAGAAAGGAAGGATTTAATTAAGAAACACAGAAAAGGTCACCAGATATGAAACCAACAGTGGGATTTTTCAACAAGGGAATTAAACATCAGACTAAGACTTAATTATAAGTCAAGTTATAGGAAAGGAGAAAAACATTTATTCTGTCCAATATCTGAAGTCAACTTGAAGCTGATGTATTCAAGCAAGAATAAATACATTTATCACGCCATTCACAAATCATACAGTATTTTCTATAAACAAAATGTATAATAAAGACAAAGGCTATAGCCATAAGGTGTCGACAACAATCTGTAAAAAAGAAACCGTTAGCCTTGAATTCAGGAATGATTACATGTTACTGTAAAAAAATGTAACACCAAAAAAATCACTGCCCTTCCATGACACCCAGTGGCGCACTCAGGATTTGGCTTTGGAGGAGGGGGGCTCCAAAAAAAAATCAGAAAATGTTGCCCAAGTGTTTGGCGGTAGAAAATAAAATGTGGGATTTTTTGGGGGGCGGACTATTTTGACGTTGGTGGCGCCACTTACACACCCATTATACTACTCGAAAATAGGCCACATTTATCAACAAGGTCAAATCGTGGGACTAAAAAAACCAAATAACCTCCCCCCCCCCAAAAAAAAAAAATTGATGACCTCTTTTTTTGGGGGGGGGAGGGGCAAAAGCCCCCAAGGCCCCCCCCCCCTTGGGTGCGCCACTATTGACATCCAAACAAGTGCAACTGGTCATTATCATGATCACTATCCCATCTATATTTTCAAATGAAAACAAAATCTTTTATTGGGAAAGAATTTTAAAACTTAGTTCATTTTCATGGTTTAAATGTCGTCACTGACTGGGCCATGCTATGTTTTACTAAGCATCAGCCCCATGAAACTGGGTCGTCGAATTTCCATTAAGCACAGTTGTTTATTCTCGGTGGGTTTTGCCATCACCTTCCGGTTCGTCTTGCTGTCTGCTGGCTCTCCGGAACAGGTCACTCCCAAGACTTGATCCGCTCAGAGAGGACCAAAGATACTAGAAAATCGATTCGCAGCAAACATCGCCCGCGGCGCTTCCTTCTTCTCATCTATCAGTCTTAAAGGGCTCCACGGAAATTCGGGACAGTTGGTCTAGCGACGGTGACCGCTATGTGTATACTCTGTGCAACAGTGCATTTAAGCACCGTGCTTTATAAACAAATGCTTCTGTTTTTGATACGTTGTGTACAGACTATACATGCTATACACTGAAAAATGTAGCCGAATCTTGCAAGCGAAGCCTCTTGTTGAACCTTATAAAACTTGTCGCTGTACTACATAGCCGCAGCTCTGAAGGCCGCTTAAGGACGTGACCTTATCCTGATATTTGAGGTCATGAGGACCTTATCAGTCTACTGCCACCAAGAGGTAAACTATGGCCCAATGTCCTTGTACACAGCCAGTATTGCATCTCAGGCCGTGTCCGAATTAATGGCTGTGGCTTGAAATTACACACGTGTCTATGTTAGTGGCTGCAGCCACTTCCCATAGACACGTGTGTAATTTCAAGCCGTAGCCAAGCAATTCAGACATGGCCTCACTGCAAACCCTCATATGCATGTATGTCAGCTTTGAGCAAATTCAGGCGAGGAGCATAGTCGACTAGTGGTTGATCTGTGGCGTAACTAATAGGGCACTAAAAGCAACGTCTAAATGCCACTTGGTCAACCACAATGATCAAAACTTGTAAGTCCGGGCTCCTTGTGCTTTATGATGCACGCGGCTGTTGGTAACCAACGATGCAACCTTGCCCCATGCTCCGGTTCCAAATAGTCAACCATAGCAGTCCAACCACCCTGTGTGTTCAAGTGAAGTTAGTCGAACTATGGCTTTATTAGTTAGCTTAGTTTATATAGTTAGCGCCAAAACCTGCTCAAGTTTGACTTTTCCCAGTGATGTATACTTCGAACATTTTTGAAGTGGTTAAACACATTAAAAGAAACTATCCAATGAGAGTATAAATTTCCACAAAAAACGTACTTCAGAAAATTTAGACTAATAGTAAATTTAGACTAAGAGTAAATTTTCTCTTCAGATAACCTGTATTTGAGTACAAATATAATCAAATAAAAACATAAAGATAGGGTATTTATTTTCTCTGCTACTCATGGAGCTTTTCTGTAAAATTCATATACTTTTTTTATATCACTCAGAGCTGGTTTCCTACAGTTTTTACCTGCTTCAGTTTTAGAAAGTAACATTTATAGTAAATAAAGTTTAATTTTGTCAGCTGAACGGGTTATGCATTAAACAACTTCAGTCAAATAATCCAAAAGCATTGTTACTCGAATGTACAGGTAATAGACTTTTTCGGCATGAACTATAAAACATCAGCTCGGTTACACTACAACAACTGTACAAATTTTGAATACATTATTATTTCCTCTTGGAAATAAGAAAAATAAAACTAGAAGATCTCGACATTTATGAAGACAGCTTCATGCAGTGATACCAAAGTGCATCAAGAAACAAGCACACACACAGAAACTACTTACCCGGCAAAGACAATGAAGCAATCTAGACGATTCCAGGTCTCGAAGAAGTACCCTGATTTTCCCCGAACTCCTAGCGCCAGGAGTTTGACCACCATTTCGGCGGCGAAGAAAGCAAAGATGAAATGATCGAAGCCTTCTAGGACCACGCATCGAGTGGAGGTGCATTCCTTCTCACAGGGCTGGTACATGCCTAGTGTGATGCAGTTGAGAATGATGACCGCCATGCTGATACGCTCAAACCAAGTGAGGAAAGAAAGTTAAGGAGAATATGGCAACAAAATAGCTGTCAAAATGGCCCACTTAATGGCAAAATGGCCAACTGTTTAAAAGCCTTCCCTTTAAAACTGTAGATAAGTGACTGTTAAATAAATGATGACAGGGGATGGCAAAACCCAACACTATAAATTGACTACATCTTGTTGGATGTTTTGGTCAATCCCTAACTCCACACTTAGTTTTACTAAGTGAAGGACCTGTCCATCAGAATCCATTACTCACTCTGCTTCACATAATGCTTCAGGACCAAATCCGTTGAAATTACCGTTGATTGGTACACATGGCTCATCTGCCAAAATGGGGGGATGGATTTTGATGGAGTTGGGAAGGTTAGGGTTAATTTAATCAAAAAACTGTACACTACATTATGTACATTAGTTTCACATCTTGCTACTAATTTTTTTATTTCTAAATAAAGTTACTTCTTATAATATTATCACTCTCTGTACACTTACGACATTTACAATAAAAAAAAAACAATTTGACAGCTGTCTTAGCTTGTCATTTGCATCACAAATTGAAAAGAAAAAAAAACCTGCGAGAACCAAGAGGCAATGCCTTTACATGAAACACAACACAAACAAAGTCTCCTGAGCAAGCATTGCATGATGGGCCTGGCCATATAAAGAATTTCAAGCCACTACCGGCAAATGTCAAGGTTAACGTATTGTTACATGATGTGTTAATGCATGCTGTGACAGGCTGCCCTGGCGACTACGGAAAGAAAAATAAAGTAAACTGTTCAATTTAGAGATTTCGCTATTGATCTCTGTTTGATTCAACCCTTCACTTGCTTTGGCTTAGTTTAAGTTGAATGCTTGGTTTTTTAAGTTATACTTGGTAGGTTTTACAGCAATAGGTTGCAGTTCACTTGGTTGTAGCATAAGCAGATTATTGCTAGTTTTAGTGAAGGCACAAAGAAACTGTTCTTTCCAGGATGGCCTGTCGAAAAATGAAATCACAGGAGAAACTTTGTACATTATGACTCGGGTTCGGCATGAAAATAAGATTTGATAGTCACATTATCATAAATAAAAATGATAAAATATACCTGGTCAGAAAGATAGGTATAAAACAAATGCAACACAAATGGGTATTCAAAATATGATACAATTTTCTCTGTCATTTTAAATTCATGCAAGTTGCACGCTACATGACATTACAAAAAAAACCTAAAAAATAGATATATTACAGAAATGAAAATGCAAATTGTGCAAACTGACAGGTTCTAAAGTTGGTACATGTACATGCACTCAGACCCAAACAACTGTTTTGCCAAAAAGGGGGAAAAAAAGCATCTTATAAAAATGTCAAAAGCATTTCTCCGTGCTCTTAACCAAATAACGTCTCGGCCGATACAAAGGTAAGAGCATTGAAATGAACTCGCTGGCAAGTCTTTGCCGGCACTGCATTAGCGAGTGAAGGTATAGGGCCTAACAATGGCTGCCTTTGTGCCATCTTATTCATTGTAATTATAATAATGGATTTTTCCCTTTTTTGGTAAGAAGAGTATTTGTGCATGTTTGCCCAAGGCTGGCTAGGTGCAGCCAAACTGCGTATTCGCCTGTTCAAAACCAACATCCGTTCTATACAAATTCAATACGCTCCTCAATAATAGAATTTTTGAATAAAAGCTTTCTTTATTCTTACCACATACTGGCTTTATAAATTTTTTTTATGCTACCTGACATTTAAAAATCAAGAACAGAACTGGCTACATACGAACTATACACTGAAGTCACTAAATGTCTTAATTCATTCGTAGCTTACAACATACGCATTTTCCTGCTAAATAATTTTCATTTTTCATGAAACTAAAAAATTCAAGAAAAGTGCTCGAGTGCACATATGTTTCTTAATTTCAAGTGCTCAAGATATTTATTATTCTAAGACCGCAGCATCTGGCCTGTACAAGCACACTGTATCGGTTCTTACGCAGACAGTGGTGATAGACGTGTTTATGCAGGAGACTTTTCAATTGCCCGGTCGCCATTTTGTACCACTCAAGAAGGCTTGCCTGGTTGTGGGACCTAAGTACGGTTGGGGGTGTTGAGCCAAATGACAGGCAAATTGGGAAGTACTGAGCAGATGTTGATGTCTGCGCAATTGAAGTGTTTACACATGGAGGATGTGTACGAGGAGATTACTCCTGCCCCCATCCACACCCACCCACGAAACTTCACCATAATGCATATTTTATGTCAAGGGCTCGTCCACGTGAACACTTTGAAGTGAGCTCTTTAAAGAAAGGATGACACTGTAAACACATATCATTGTAGATTATACCACTGTCAGCATCCAAAAGTACATTTCAACTTCTTGAATCAATCAAGGATCCACCATTTTTCTGTTTTCGTGTAACCCAATAAATTTAAAAAGCTGCTGGCATCTTTTGTAAAATGTCCCTGCCATTAAGTTTTGTTCTAACTGCTTTTTTTCTCATTTTTGTTTTTCACACCAATCCTTCATGGTTTTTTTGGCACATATCTTGCACAAGTTTTGACATCAATTTTATACAATTTTGGACAGACCTGTCCCATAGAAATGCCTTTTTTTTTAAATGCAGGTTGTCTTATTTTAAAGTCAACTATGAGTTAAACACACAATCTCTACTAAAACTCACAACTCAGAAACTTTCCTCCGAGGCCATTAACATGCAGGGATCTGACCGAAACTTCCGAACCGACACATTAAGAATGCTGCGTGCATCATTCACATTTTATGTCGGACAAAACATCTCGGGCACGGAGGCCCCATGTTATTAATATTTCATGTGAATCAGATCCGAGATGTCACCGTGTCTTCATATAAAATGCAAACCCCGTGCTCTTCAAGTGTTGGCCTTGAATACAAATGACTTACTTTTCCTCTGAGGAGAGAAATGTTACACAGCCAGCACTGGTTCTGAATAATCAATGCTTTAAACTCTTTAACATTTGACTACATTTGAGTATAAATGAAGAGAAAGTACACCACTTAATTGTATACATGTTTGATAGAGAAAAAAATGTACTATAGCTTCACTTTATAGGCTCATTCTTTTAGAACACTTAAAAAAAGCCTCGTTCTTTTTTCTTATCTTTTATTCTATTTAAATCTCTGCGATGTAAAATTCCATCATAAGTCATCCTCAATATTGTTTCTTATTTAAGCAGGTAGAGAAAAATCATCACTGTAATTTTAATCTCTCCAAAGAAAAGTCTTTGAAAAGTCAATGGCCGTACATAAAATTACATAATTGAATAATAGACAGGTATAAATTGTAGCGAGAATGAGAATGTTTTATGGCCTGAGGCAGGTGCTTTCCGCTGATGATTAACTACTCGCCAAGCTAATGAGTGTGAACTGGACCTACATGAGGTAGGAAATAAGACCACACACTTGATTGGAAACTCACAATGGACTCGCTGTGATCAGACCCACGGCACATCCTCTTAAATCTCGTCAGCTCTGCCTCCGGACCGTTCTGCGGTTTGGACGTGAAGTCAAACATCATGACCCTTACATGACGGGATAAAAATTGCGGTATACACATGTCATCATGGTCGTGCAATAGTAAGAATTAGACATGGCCGCGTGAATACATTCCAAGATTGGTTCGTGTGGGGTGCCCATTGTGGGGAGGCAAATCAGGCAATATAGAATTAAACAAGTGTTGCACTCACACGCAATACAGAATCACAGCATTCCTCAGAAATATACAGTTGATGTTGGTCCAGTAATTGGATTAAAAACATTTAACCATTTTTATTATAATTCCAAAATATTTTTGGAAATCTTCGCAGACAAGCATTCTTCTACCATAAAACAGGCAACTTACAAAAAATTGTTTTATCTTGATACATTGCACTGGACTAATGCATCGTCTTTTAGAAAGAGACAGACTGCATGTATAAAGCACTATCAGACATCTAATATAACAGCTTGTTTTTCAGAGTGTCACTGATTTAGATCACACAAAACAAAGAGAGAAAATATTTACGCTGACAACTCATTTGACAAGCAAAAATAGACTCTTGTCTCATCAGCATGAATCCATGTTGGCAAAGACGATGTTTGCATCAAGCCCTATTCTTGCATTTTCAAGACCCTCTGCTTGTTTCTCATACCAATTTACCATGAGCAGACTCGGAGTACAACCGCAAGTCAACAAGGAGTTTTGATGACTTACTATATATAGTTTCCAATTCCAAACAAAACTGGCCATCAAGAGCCAAAAGCAAACAGTGAAAAAAAATATTCTCCTGAGTGTTTTGAGATTTGTATCACGGTCTGTAGCTTTTTTCCCAATTTTTCTTCCAAATCCTTTGATGATACAGAACTGCAACAGTATCGTTCAGAATACCCAAGGAGACTTTAATTACCGGCATGCAAAACTTCTCTCCAAAAGCGCTCAACAGGGAATTTTCAGCATGCACGCAATTTACAGGGATTTCCAACTTCGAATTTGCATAAACGTCATTCATTACATTTGCCTGCATACATTCGAAGATACAAAAACATCTATACCGTGTAAATACGATGCTAAAAATACTTTTTATTGCTTTTAGTCACATTTTCTTCATCAAATCTCTAAGTCTAAAACTCTTTCAGTAAATTCTTAAAACAAACTGTGTTCAGCAATTCAATCGTTTTACATAACGGCACAGGTAAGACTAACAGAATCTACTTATTGGGGAAAGTCTCACTCAGGGTAATCCTATATGATAGCACTGCCCAGCTCTCAGTTCACCAGCCAAAAACCAGGCTAAGTCACAAGTGCAATCTGTGAATTAGTGAGCAAAAACTCTTTCTACATCTAAACTAAATGTATAAACAATTAAAAATGTGAAATGGCAATGCAAGCCACTGTAAAAAAAAGTTGTGTGTGTACACGTTTGCCATCCGCGTCTTTGGAGTTTACTAAAATAAACCTTTTAATATGCAACATCACAGAGAAACTTAAGACGGCAATTTTCTGAT